TCACTTTATGAAATGGTGAGTCGAGTGATGAAGGCGCTGGTCAACAGGAAAATCACAGTGCCAGGAAATTTCCAGGGGTATGCACTTTTAAAATAAGGATGTTAAATTTCAAATAATTAGGATTATTGTGAGTAGAGGCATTGCATAGCGTGGCATAAAGCCTGACATAATCCTGTGTTATCTTTGGTTAATACTGACAAGTTTCTTTTTCCAGCCACTCTGGTGCTCAGTGCATCACCTGCTCGTACAAAGCTTCCTCTGGGCTGCTGTATCCATTAGAGCGTGGGTTCATCTATGTGCACAAGCCTCCTGTTCACCTGCGTTTTGAGGAAATTTCATGTGTCAACTTTGCCCGAGGCACCACCACGACACGCTCCTTTGATTTTGAGATTGAGACCAAACAGGGAAACCAGTACACCTTCAGCAGCATTGAGAGGTTAGAGCAGTGTGAACTCAACGTTTCATTTGTTTAGTTTGCCTCTCACTTTCCTTGTTCTCTGCACAATTTGTGTTACATGACATGCTGTATGAAACCTTAACATTTCAACGTGTTTATTATAGAGAGGAGTATGGCAAGTTGTTCGACTTTGTCAATGCTAAGAAGCTTAACATCAAGAACAGAGGATTCAAAGAGGTAATTTCTAATTCAATTGATTCCATTCTAAACCATAATGGTAAGCCACTTTCATTAAACATCCTCCATTTGAGATATTTACATTTGTCGCCCTCTTCTTATGTGTTTGTCCTTGTATTCATGTAGAAGAAGGTGGGTATGCTCACAGGCATCACTCAGGATATTTTATTTTCTTGTAATTGGTGTGAAGTGATTTTTTTTTTTTTTTGCATTGCATGGCCTCCAGCTTGAATTAAGGAGTGATCCTGGTTTTGGTTGTCACATATAACATTGGTGCAGGACCTGATTTGTCTTCTTTGAATTATAACTAACCATGGCTACTTCTGCTGACTAATGTGTGGCCTCGGGGCTTCTGGTGTGCTTTAACACTTACCACGTTTGTCGTCATGTCCACTGCCAAACACAATCTGAACTGGCAATAATGCACAATTTTTTAAGGATTAAATCCGTAGTGGCAAGCCTATCTGCTGCCATATGGTTTTAGATATAAATCTGAAAAAGGTATTTTAGTTACTGTGTGTAGGTATTCATCCCTTCAGGTCAAATAATCAGGACACTAATCACTATTAAGCTTAACTACATATTTTATATTGTTACTTTCTATTGCAGAAAGATCTATAATCTATTGTATTTGAAAGTTGCATGGGCACATCAGTAATTTTTTGCTTTTGGGGGATATACTGATCTTGTGAATTGCTCTGTGCTTTATTATAAAACTTGGGAAACTGCACTGGGCCTTTGGTAGGGGCATTTCTCTTTCGGGACTCTATTGTGTTTCTTAACACTGAACTTGTTTTCAGGGCATGAAAGGCAAAATTGATGAGTACAGCGACTCTGATGAAGACCAACATGATGCCTACCTGGAGAGGATGAAGGCCGAAGGCAAGATAAGAGAGGAGGGCAACGACAGCGATGATTCAGATGAAGAAAGTGGTGAGTGGATCTCCCAGTTTGGGGTGCCTTTAAAATGTGTGATGTAATCTAACACTAGTATTAGTGTATTAAGACAACATCTAATTTGATTCAAGTAGAAGCACCAGCATTTATCAGGAATACAGCATTATACTTTGCAGCTCTTCATAATGATAAAATGTACTGCTTTTAGATGAGTCATTCAACCCTGGAGAGGAGGATGATGACATTGCAGAAGAGTAAGTGAATTTAGTGTACATTTTTCTGATCTGTGTGATAAATGTTAAGTTGAATAAACATATTTTGAACAGATACGACAGCAAGGCTTCAGCCAGTGAGAGCAGTGAAGAGGGCAGTGGAAGTGAGGACGAGAGTGCCAAGAAGAAGAAGGAAAAGAAGAAAGAAAAGAAGGTAGTGAAGGAGAAGAAAGAGAGGAAACCACGCAAAGAGGTGAGAAACATGCACTCACACATTTGTATAGTTATTGGCCAAAATATACCAACTATATTAACTAAAATTATTTATTTGAGCAGAAGAAGCAGAAAGATACTGGCGGTCCAAAGAGACCAATGAGTGCCTACATGCTGTGGCTCAACTCCAGCCGAGAGCGCATCAAGTCTGAGAACCCAGGCATCTCTATAACTGAGATCTCCAAGAAGGCTGGAGAGATGTGGAGACAGCTGGGAAAAGAGGAGAAGGAGGTGAGGACATTTACATGTTTATTCTGCTTCTTATTGAACTTCAGTGACTATATATTTTTATTTATTTATTAATTTTTTATTTTTTTTTATGAAGGAGTGGGAGACCAAAGCTGGAGAAGCAAAGAGACAGTATGACAAAGCAAAGAAAGAGTACAAAGAAAGTGGTGGAGGAGAAAGTTCCATGCCAAAGAAGTAAGCCACTCAATGATCAGGTATTTATGTAGCCAATGACACACCTTGTTTGTAATATTGGTGTATTTTCAGGGAGAAGAAGAAAGCTGGGAAAAAAGAGGAGCGAAAAAGAAAGTCAGGTGGTGGAGACAAAGAACGAGAGAGATCAGGCAACGACAGTTTCAAGAGCAAAGAGTTCATTGAGACCAGTGAAGAGAGTTCATCGGAGTCTGACCACAAAAGCAAATCCAAGAGGAAGAAGGTAAAGCAGCAGCAACTATTAATGAACCACACCCAAGGCACACTGTGTGGTCAACTACTTTTGACACCATACATTTATATACAATATTTAATATTACATAGAATAAGGTGCACATAGGTTACTTAAAAAACAATGGAAAACAGAAACGGTGAGATGTAATTATGATAGGCACCACCAGATGGCGTTAGACCAGCGCCATTGAATCGTGAAGAGGCAAGCGAAAAGGCCTGAACATGCCATGAACATACTAAACTAATTTAAGCACTTGCATGATCAGTTTGTCTGGACAATAAATACTAAAGGTCTTTCTTAAAATGTGATGTGTGTAAATTAGGGCCAAATCTGTTGAAGCAAAACATAGGTTCAAGTACACTTTTGATGAGGCAGTAACGTGGTTAAAAGCACAAAAACAGTAAATGTTGCATATTATATGGCTAATGAGCTAACAGTTTCACCTACTGTCTACATGTTTCATCTTATCCAGGTTTGTTATAGAACTGCTGAACACAAACTAGGATGGCCTCAGAAATCTCACATCCGAACTGCCTGACATATGCATGAAAGTGTTATTAGCAACAGGCTGGGGCTGGAGAGGAACTGCAATGATCACTTCAGTTTGATTACTAAATCACAGTGGTGGAGCGTGCATTTCACACCTAGGCCTTCAGTAGTGCTCCGTCTGAAACAATCCACTCCTCAACAATTTTATGGTTATAAAAGCATCTTATTATACAGAAACACAGTATAAAGAGCTGTGGAGATTCCGTGCACGTAGAAGTGAGGAGAGGGGGTGCGTGGTGCAAGGAGAAGAAGTGAGGAGCGCTGGGGTGCTAAACCAGAATTAAACCAATACTGTTTGTCGGGACTGGCGCGAAGGTGCGCCCACTCGGCTCCGCACGGTGCTCCGTGCAGCTGTCCCCCGATTGTGCTTTGCAGACAGTCTGTCTGTCTCTCTCTCTCTCTCTCGTTCTTTCTGAAGTCCAAGATTAGTCCTGGTTTAGTCCTGGTTCCGCTACAGATGCATTGTGCTGCTTTGGCTGGTCCGCTCTCTGACTCTCCAATCGGCGGGTCTGAATCCAGTGACGTCGTACGCCTGCTAGAAGACCCTGGCGATACCAACTCAAAATCTGATTGGTTGAAGCAACAGTTTCATCGACATTTATCTTGTGTTCGAGGGTCTGCAGAACAGATTGTGAAGGCCTCAGGGACACTTATTTTACTTTGACTCTGCCTAGCAAAAACTGATGGCTGAAATGTGATTGGTCAAATGTTTTAATATGGAAATGCATGTGTGGAAGCAGCACAACCATCGGAAAAGCTCTGAAAGGAAGTAGATGGATCATTTGGAATTATTTAATAATAACATAATTAACATCAGTCTGTGATTCAGATATTTTTTAGGCCAGCAGAGAAGGCCTTGAAGGCCTCGACGCCCCACCGCTGCTAAATCATAATTATCAAATGTACATAAAAAAAATCTAACAGGTCTTTTAAAAATGAAAACACAAGATGGAATTTCAGAGATTATTTTATTTTATATATTTTTACTAAAAAGTGCCAAGATTACTGTTAAGATAGTTACTCCATCTTTCTGATTTTAATGTCCAATCCATACTGTGTGCTGTACACTTGGAGGGCTCATACAAGTGGTTTATCTTGAGCTTACATTGTGTCAAATGTTAATCAACGATATTTAACCTTAAGATTCTGCACATTGACATTTGTGTTAATTCTTTGATTTAGACTTTTTTTTTTTTTTTTCAGGAATCTGAGGATGAAGAGGAGGAAGCTGCATCCACACCCCCAACCTCTGAGGAAGAGTCGGACTAAATATATACACAACACACACAAACCAAGGACCAAGCATTTGTACACAGGTTTATCTGAATGGGTGGACTGAAATTACATCAGCGGAACAGTTTGTTCAGGTGCATTTACATTGTAACATATTAAACATTTAAGTTTGAGTGGATGATGTATCTTTACCACCAGTACTAAAGGCTGTTATCTATGGGGTAACCAATTTTATTGTACCTGATGATTGATGTAGTTTTGTAGCATTGGTAGAACAGAGTATGAAATGTGCAGAGCTGTGTTTTTTTATTTAGACAGTGATATAGTACTGTATTTTGTCTTGTTGTCTGTCCAACATAAATAAATTGTTTTTTAAATAACGTTTACAGATGAAAGTGGACATGTTATGGTATAAGTGTGAAACTGGAGGAATCATCCAGATGACACTGAATATTGTGAAACAAGTTTAATGAGGACGTCCTGGCTGATTGCCAGGCAAATGTCTTTGTTCATGATTTCCTGTTTTCCTATTGGGGGGGGCAGCCAAAGGTTTGACCCATAGGTCTTGTGGGGGCTACATTTACCCAGGCTTGTACCAGAATGCAGTCGTTTGAAAGTGGTGTTCTCTGTATGGTGGATGGCCACATTGGTTATAGGGTTAGTGGTTTTAAACAAAAGCAGAGGCTTTAGAATAGAGTGGTTTGTAAAAGCTGCCACATAAGGGAGAGTTCCCAGATGGGAGAGCTTGGTTTTTAAGAGCCACACACACCGGATGTGAATGGCTCTTTAACAGTTTGTTTCTGATAAGGTCCTTCACCTTCTGCACTGCACTTTAGATGTCCTCATAATGACCCTGACTAATGGTGTTTTTTTTTTTTTTTGTTTTTTTTTTTTTTTTCAAAATTAGACCAGAAGTTACATTTTTAACCTAAAAAAAGTTTTAATGCAAATAGATTTTTTTTTATAGCAACATTATTTTATATGCAATGTCTGTCTTGACCTTAGTCTCTGATGGCACCACAGTGCCACAAAGTAAGACACCTTTTTGTTTTGTTTTTTGAACCAGCCATTTAAAAAAAATATATATATGTACGGTCATAAGTGACTTACAGTGATGTGTGTAGAAATGTGTTAATACAGTTCAAACTATGGCACTTTGTGAAAAGAGCATGATGCTGTACAGATAACTTGATGTATCTTTTATTGGGTTACCATAAGTGATGTTACACATAATAGATCCACCATAGATAGAGCCACATTTGTACTCATTTCAGCTGCTTAAGTGAATTGCCTTGTAATGTGTGGCATTTGTACTCCAAAAGACTGAAGTTACAGGAGAAAAAAGTCAAGTTTCTCTAAAGTGCTTTAATGTCATGGTAAGATTACTTTTATCATCTGAAAGTGGGCAAATGGATGTGAAAGTGTTTTTCATTGTGTACTCTTTTGTTTATTTAAACAAAGTAGTTGAATGAATATTATTCATTGATAGATTTTGATAGGGTATGTTTTTAAATATCAATTTGGAAAGTATACATTTTATCATTAATATAAATTAAAGATAGCTTTTGTGTTTGACTGGTTTGAAATTACCACATTTCAGTGTTAGAAGATGGCACGTGTTGTCTTGGGATTTGTGGTCAGGAGAGCTCTCCCAGTTTCCTTTATGTTGTGAAAAGGGGAGGTCCAGGGTGCTTTTTAAAGCTATGACATGAAGACTGAGCGGGTGACTGTCAGCTAAACTGGCTGTCCTCAAAGAGTTGGACATCTCCTGGACAAGGCAACTTTGCTCTTTCACTCAACTATGGGCTGTTTTGTATGGGGTTTTGTCACAGACTTCTTCACCTACGAGACCACCAAGTCTGTAGTGGTCAAGAGCTGGTCAGTGGGGATTATCAATCGGATTGTCCAAGTCCTTATTATTGCCTATTTTATTGGGTACGTAATGCATTTCTCTTTTGCATGCATGGCATTATAAATGTAATACACTATTTTTACTATTACACTATTAATAAACTATTCACCTAAATATTTATTGTGAGTACATGAAAGTTCACAATTTTGTTCACAATTGAATTTTGTGCAATGATTTTTGAGGAAATTGCTCATTGTGACAATATTTATTCTAAACTAAACCAAAAAATCAATACAAATGGCCATAGCTGGTTGAAATAAATATTTCTATATTATTATTCATTAATATAATTAATATTTTTACCATCGCTTTTTGCATACCTTTGTTTTGTAGTTATGTCTTCATGTATGAGAAAGCTTACCAGACGACAGACACAGGCATAGAGTCATCAGTTATGACCAAAGTCAAAGGATTTGGACGACATTATGATCGAATTATGGATGTTGCAGACTATGTCTTTCCTCCAGAGGTGATCTCAAACACACACAACCTTTCACCTCAGCAACCCAAATGCAATGAAATGATCAATGGTGTTTTGTGGTCTATGTAAAAAGCTTCTGAGCCATGTGTTTCTGAATAATGTTGTGGTTACATCATTTATTTATGCTGCTCTACAGTTTAGTGTTCATATGTTCATGAGTCTATACATTACTACCTTTTTTCTTTGCTTTTCAGGGCACAAATGTGTTCTGTATAATGACCAGACTTTATGTGACAGAGAATCAGTTTCAAGGGAGATGCCCAGATGTGAGAAAATGTTTTTATTGCTTCTACAAAACTGTCAAGAAAAAAAAATCAACATTGGACATAATGCTATGTTTGTTTTTCAGTCATGGCCATTCACTTGTAAAATGGATGAAGACTGTAAGAAGCATTATGGGTCTGTTCTGGCCAGCGGTAATTAAAATACTTTTTAAACCACATAAAATAGGGTAAAATTTTATGCGATTCTGAAATATTATTTTGATCCTAGAAGTGGGAGATCTATAGAGAAACTGACTATATGCATATTGTTTTCAGAATATTGTCTCTAAGAAACATTTAAGAAACATATAAAAAACAAAAAAATAAAAGATTAATTTCGTTAATATCACTCACCCTCAAATAGTTTTAGTTTAATAATACTTTCTGTTTAATACTCAGGTGCCATCACAGGCAAATGTCTCATAGAGGACAATGAAAGCCCGGGTTTCTGTGAGATTGAAGGATGGTGTCCAACTGAAAATGAGGCTCTCATATCGTGAGTTTACACCTCAGATAACAGTGACATCAGAGATTACGTTTATTTTAGCCATTTGTCTCTAGGAAACCCATGCCTGATATCAGAAACTTCACCATCTTCATCAAGAACAGTATCAATTTCCCACTTTTTGATGTCACCAGGTATCAGTCACTCCAAGAAGCTGTTTGCTGGCAGAGCTGGTGGTTTTAACACAAATTTTATGTTTTTCAGAGGTAACTTTCCATCAACCATGACATCTGATGAGATAAAAAAATGTACTTATCATCCAGAGGAAAGCCCATTTTGTCCTATTTTCAGGGTGGGAGACATTTTAAATTATACAGGACAAACCGTGGAGAAAATAATCGAAAAGGTCCTGCCATAAACATACACATTTTATACCTACTGGAGTACAGGACAAGCTATAACTTCTTCTGTTTCAATTAGGGAGGAGAAATAGGAATAAACATTGAGTGGAAGTGTAATCTGGACCTTGATCTTGACTACTGTGTCCCACTCTATTCTTTCACAAGACTCGACAAACCCTTTGAGAAGAATGCCATATCTAAAGGATACAATTTCAGGTAATATTATAAAGTGTGCATATGTTCTTAGCCTCAGCAAGCTGAATAGAGTATTTCTTTATTTACATACAGATATGCCCGATATTATAAATCAGACAATGGCACAGAGTATCGGACCCTCTATAAAGTGTTTGCCATCCGCTTTGATGTCATAGTCACTGGGAATGTGAGTTTGACAGATCACACCTTTGACTTTTGTTTTAGATGCATTTTATATACTGTATTTTAAGGGATTTTTGTGTTTGTAGGCAGGAAAGTTTGACATGGTTCCAACGCTTATAAATGTGGTTGCTGCTTTGACATCTATTGGACTGGTATAGTTTACAACAAATTACATACTTTTTTATCATAATTTAATTCTGACAGGCTTCTGTGTTTGTAGGGTACAGTTTTATGTGATATTATTTTGCTCAACTTTCTAAAAGGAGCTGACCAATACAAAGCCAAAAAATTTGAAGAGGTAAGCAACCATTCCCTGTTATAAATAAGAGGATTTAAGCATATTTATCTAACCCTTTATATGTCTTAGGTTTCACAGGCTCAGATTGAAGCGTCTTTGACACCTAGCCCAGGCAGCCAACTGTCACTCAAACCAGGGATCAAGAGCTCATTAGACTCTGGTATGCCGTCGCTTTCAATTTCAGACCAACCTGTGTGACTGCTTCAGCATCACTCATCAAATCTCTTATCATCCAAGTACAAGTGTGGAGTACAAGTGTATATATATATATATGGAAGTTATTCAGTACCTTTAAAGCCTCTGGTGCATGCCTACATTGTACTGTATAGTAGTTTACCTATTTACTTGTAGCATGACACATTCGTACAAGAGATTCATTAGCAAGACTTTATGTAAATGAACTTTCATAGTGATAAAAATTTATTTTTTCTGTACATAAGACTGACAGAGATTGTAGAACTAGAACGTGTGCTCACACCCATCTGTACCAATACTATTTTATTTAATGACATATTGTATTCTATTATATGTATATGAATTAAACTCAGTGAAAACTGTGCTGAAAATACTCAAAATATTTATTTTATAATATATTGTACAGCCATATCAAAACGTAGGCTTGAGACACAAACATTAATCATTTACAAAGTGGAAATAAATTAAATGTTGCATTTAACTAACTGAATGTTTCTCATGTCGCCTTGATGTACTGCCTATACATGAAAATAGATAAGCTAATAATATGCCTTATAGCAGTGGTTATATATTTAATGTTTTACACATATCCATTAAATTCTACAGATTCTATACCCTTAATACTTTTTGCCCACTTTTGTTCAAGGCACTAATAACTTCAGTGGTAAAGTGGTAAAGACTACAACAGATGAAAGCTCTACAAAAGACACTAAATTCAATCAAAGAAATGAACACAATGCATTATATCTATCCTTAAAAAAAGAGTTTCCTTGCATCCATTAAATAGCTTTTATTCCATTTCTTTCACTGAACAGAGTGATTTGTGTGGAGGTGACTACATTATATGGTAATACTTTAGAATAATTGTAACTGTAAAAATGGGTTAAATTATACATAATGAACAATATTTTAAAGAACAAATACAAACATTCCCCTTCACTGATATAATTTTGCATAGATGTTTATGAAACAGGTCTATAAGATGAAGTAATGCTTTAAAGGTGCACTTTGTACCTTTCCTGGCAGAGGTTCTACCACCTTCTGTCTCCATGACCATGTTACTGATGAGCCTGGAATGTTTCACAGTATGACATTAAACTGATCTACCTTACACTGAAACACCTAACAGGTGTTTTATTGCTAAAAACATCAAGTTAATTCTAACAATGTTTAATGCCATAGTGTGAAACAGTGAAGGTAAAGCAATAACCATAAGTTACATAATGCACCTGTAATAACAAAAACACCTGGACTATTCACATCATAATGGGCTTTATTCTAAAGCTTTACATACTTACAAAGGGGCGTTCATGCAGAACTGTCACTTTCTGTGCTTTTTTCTTAGATTGTTTCTTTTGAATGCCCGTATCCAGGCGGGTAGCGTAGGTCGTCGGGATGGTGCCACCTCCTTGGGTCTGACTGGTGCTAAGAGTACTGGCTCTGAGTGCTCCTCACTGCCCTCCTCTATGAGAGAGTCCTCTTCCTCGTCTTCCTCGTCTTCCTCCTGTCCCTCCTGTTCCTCTTCTTCCTCCTCTGACTCAAACATATCTGGTGTCAACTCCGGAGGCTCAATAGAAATGATCTCCTCTGAGAAGCGCACGTGCCGGGTCACATCCACGCGTCGCTGAAGAATAACAGAAAGAATAACAGAAAAAACAAAGTAAAAATAAAGTATTACAAATATAGAACTGCAATGTAATTTTAGTTTCTCATCTATCATGCTTATGTTGTTATTACCCTTTTGATTACAGTTTCCATGGAAAGTGTTGATTTGAGAACACCTCGAGGAATGGGTACACAAGGTTTGGTCGTGGATGGAAAAAAAGATGTGGGTCTCCCATCTATGCTGTCCATCACATGGTTATTTGGTAAAAATACAGATTCATCTACAGAAGAATGTATTCGAAAAATTGTTAGCAGTAGCTGTATTTGTAGTAATTGTCATAATGTAGTAATTCTATTACCATCTGCAGGGTCATTCCCATTAATTACAATTCTTTGGAACTTTGTTTGCATGCTTTCATATGACTGGTGCTGTCTCTTCCTGCTGCTTCTCAGCAAAGAATTATCCACTGCACTCATCGACTAACAATAGATGAGAAATCAGTTTGAACACAAGCTTTGAAGCCTTGCATATATTTTGATTTGAGGCTGTGTATAACTCACCTCCGTAGCATGTTGTTGCTGTGGCTGCTCAACACTGGCTGTAACTTGCATGTCTGATTGGCTTTGCCAATGATCCATTGGCTCTGACTGCATTTGTGCCTTCTCTGTTATATCCATGCTGATGTGTAATGGAGGGTCAGGAGACACCTGCGTCATGGCAATGTCTCTGTTTGATGCCTCTCTTTTCCCATAGATATTTGTGTTAGTTCCAACATTGCGTTCATTCAACACCGACTTAATTTCAGATTTTTCAACATGATAATTGTTTAAGTTTTGATTCATAGTCTCTTGTGATGGTGCACCTTGAACTGATACAGAGATACCTGGATTTAAGAACTTGGCCCATTCTCGACCACTGACAATTTCATCCAGTAGACTGAATGAGCCAAGGCCAAGATCAAACTCAGATGTAGATCTGAAAAATAGGACAAATATGCCTTTCAGCTATAATGAAATGGACAAATTATGTCAACAAAGGTGTGTTTAAGTGAAAAAATGCCATAACCGCCCATATTAATATACAAAGGTATGGTTGTTAACACCCCAGGAATACCTATCATATCTTAGCCTTACTTAAGCCTCAATCAAATTATCTTCCTGAAACAGCAAATGCGTTACACGTTATGCCAAACATGCTTTTACCTCATGCTTTCATCATTGCCATTTGACGTCTGAATTTGAACATGATCCGTTCTGTCGTCAAGTGTGGGGGTGCCTCTGGACTCTTCTATTGAAGGCAGATTAAAATGGATGAGTTGCTGTTGAGGTGAATTCTGGGTAACACAAAACAATGAAACATTAGTACAATGAATATTTTAGGTCAAGCAATGCACAGGTGAGGAGGTGTAACTTTTACCTCTTGTGTAGGCTTGTCACCAAGTCTATCTTTTTTCCCAAAACTACCTGGTCTCTCTCTCCACTTCTCCTTGATTTTCTGAGTCCATTTATAAGTTTTATTTTCAGATGATCGTTGTTTTCTGTTTGTGGTATTTTGGTGGTTAGTTGCAGTCTTTGTATTTTGTCCGGTCGCTCCAAATACTCCCTCAATTGACACTTTATTATTTTGGGTCTCTGTGTTCTGTATGGACCATCCATACACTTTAGGCACAAAGCCACTGTCCTGGTCCTTCTTTTGTTCTGTGCTTCGACTCTGAGATATGTCATTTGTTTCAGAATTGGAAAAGTTAAAACTTCCTTTTGAGGAAACTGGAGTAACAGCAGCATAAACAGATTTTGGTAAAAAGCACTGCCCAGTTTGGGAGCCCTGTCCACCCTCCTGACAGTGACAAGAGGCTCCACTGTCTTCAGAGGAACGGTCAAGATCCAGCAGTTTTCCATTCACAGTAAACTCTGTTTTTTTGTCATCTGTCACTTCAAATCCATTAATAGGGTTATTATTGACTTTTGTTAAACTGTGTATGCTTTGTCCCTCTGTTGTATTTTGTCCAGACTGAATATTTGTGGTCCCAGCTTGAAGCTTCAGCCTCTGCAACATGGACTGCAGTAAGGCCTGGTTGTCTCTTGGATTATGTGCTTGAGACATCTAAAATCCAAAATTATTATGTAAGATTAGAAATGACAAAGAAACATTATTATTAAAATTTACATTAGGCATTGAATGAACACAAAAAATAGCAGTCATTAACACTGTGGTCTTATGAGTATTAAAATAACCATATTATTTTTATCTTTAGCTTTCTCACCTCAGTTAGCAAGACATGCCCATCTTCTTCAGCTACGACTGGTATGCCAGTGGTTTGGCTTCAATACCTGTTCCACAGAAAGCAGTAACCTCACTTTGTTTCTCATTTTCTTGTCAAAATCCCAACATTGCTAAAACACAGACTAACGCCTGATTTTGGTTGTTCAATGTCTTTTAACCTATTTCTGTCACTAGTTTTTGTCTAACTCTAGTCACACCTCTAACACAGCAGCCATTTAAGTGTCTAGAGATGGGAGGAGATTTTAGTGTAGCAGTATTCCTCGTGAAACGAGGCAGAGCAACAAGAAAGACCAGTGAGGTGAGATAATTGTGCGTTGACATTAACTCTCCTTCTTTAGTGCATCTCTCTAACCCTACCTCACTTCCACGTCTTCCACAAAACACACCCTCCATGTCTGCAAACCAGCGATTACAATTTACATTTTGACAAACATGAGACAGATGTGATCAATCAAAGTCTGAACCTAAGTTTGAGTTATTGGAAGATTGTCCAAACTTTATCCCATCTAGTGTACTTTCCGTTTAAATTCATATTGATATAGGCCTAAAAATAGTCCAACTGTCACTGTCACTGTACCTCAAGAAGAGTCTCTAAATGCAAACAGAAGAAACATCAAGTGACTTTATGTATAGCCTGCAGCCAATGTTAAGATAGCAACTTAATACCAACTTACATATTCTCACTGAAATATTTTTAACTTGCTTTCAGTTTCAGTTCAGTTAGCAACTGACTTGATGTTATTCTCTTCACCTTATTCTCATTCTCCCCCATCCATGCTCCCAAGCCCCTCGAGCCCCCCCAAGCAAAGGCCATCCACCCATGCGCTCTTGGCGCGTGCGTCCAAGTCCCACTTCTCTCAGCCCGATTTCTATTGGATAAAAATACGGAAGTCTTTTATGGCGGCGTAAACAAGACACACGGCACCAAAAATATAGACAGTTTACCCGGACATGTAGCAATGCAAAAAGTTACCAGGTTTAAATAAAAGGCGAGCAGATTACAATAATCCCCAGTGTTTTATTTTTAAATACATGATCGTGTACAGCTAACTTGCCTCCAAGAGCATGGACTGCGTAGTCACCGGAGGAAACGTTAAAGGTAAGAGAGATTGTGCCCATATTTATTTGATACAGTTCGTTACTCAGACGCGGTTTTTGACTTACCCTGTCTTATTTGAACGGTGAAGTGTTGGCCAAAGCTGTCCACTCCTTGTCCCGAATTGGAGATGAGCTTTACGTGGAGCCGCAGGAGGATGGGGTAGGCTTCTGTCATCCACCAACACTTCCTCTTTCAAACATGTAACTGTATGTGCTTCCTGTTAGTTTGTCAATGAACAGCACTGATGTTTGGTTTTTCTCTCTCTTAGCTGGCCCTGCGGTCTGTGAACTCGTCTAGATCTGCCTATGCTTGTTTCCTGTTTGCACCACTCTTCTTCAGCAGGTGCTAAAGTTTTGTGTGTGTGTGCATGCAAAGCACAACATGCGTTTGTAAGACAAAACGAGAAAATACACAAATTAGCTTAAAGGTGCATTGTGTAACTTTTCTAGTGGATTGTCTTGTCAAATGGTATCATACATTATGGTATTAAACCTTTCTATCTTCATTGAGGCCAATCAGACCAAGTTACAGGTCATATCTGTGGAGAGGCATTCCTGCTCACAGTCAAAATGCCTGTTTTTCTTTTTGAGCTATAAAACCACCTGTAATTAAATAAATGTAAAGTAGAAATGTTTAACGTGATACTGTGGAACATTCCAAGGCAAACAATAACATATCCATAGAAACAAGCAGGTTACAGACCCCGAACCAAAAAGTTACATAGTGCATCTTTAATATAATGTAGTAACTGTTTTCTTTTCACTTTTGTATTAGGTACACTACAGCCAGTGGCCATTCCTTTCGCTGCAAGTTGGCAATAAAGGTGTCTAAATAAAATATTTTTCAGAACTAGATCACACTATTTATATTACTTACAACTACTACTGCATAATGACACTTTTTGTTCATTTTCAGAGTGTACAATCAGTATTCAGATCTTTGACAACTTTGGAGAAAACTGTGGAGAAATGTCACATGAAATTAGATGAGGAAAAGAGTCGCCTCACATTTACTTTGCACTGCAAACACGGTATCAGTGTTTTCTTTACCACATATCAAGAATAGTTTCATCTTAACCACAACCCTCAAAATCATCCTTATGTGTTTTTGTATTTGTTGATATTTCTTCAGGCCTACTGAAGACACATAACCTGTCTTTCCAGGACAGTGAAAGTTTGCAAGCAGTATTTGATAAAGACAGCTCTGCCAATAAATTCAGAGCCCAGCCCAGGTATGTGCATGACTTACTAGAAACAGGGGAGTACATGACATCAATTTGTTATATCAGTATTCTCATATTTGTATTTGGCATGACACCATTGGTATCATTTGGGGCAACTGGCCACAATACAGTACAATAAAGTGTACCTTAACCTTATACCTTTTGGATTTAAATAAATTGTATTATTGTTTCACCTAACAATTAGATTGCTGGTGGATACAGTTGTTCACTTTCCTCCCTCTCTTGAGGAAGTGACTCTCTCAGTGAGTGAAGACCGCATGTGGTTCAAAAATCACGTGGAGGAAGATGCAGGTTTACTTTTCTCCCGTTCTCCATAAAACAGTGATTCTGAAGTTGTGCTTGAGATGATAATTATTTCTTGTCTTTTTCTTCTCAGAGCCATCTAAGGCTATGCTTACAGAGCTATGTCTGTCTTCTGATGAGTTTGACCATTTTTATGTACAAACTCAAAACAGCATCACATTTTGCCTAAAGGAGCTTCGAGTAAGACTATGAAAGATTCACAATATGATCATGGAAAGTTTTATGTTACTCATTTGAGATTTGTATGTATGCAGGGTTTGTTGTTATTTGCTGAGTCCACTGGTCTGCCCATTTCTATATACTTTGATGAGCCAGGCAGGTGAGCTCTTTTGAACAGGTTGCACTTGGTTGTTTGAGAATACTCTAATTAAACAGTTGTACCACTGTCTGTCAGTCCTGTTGTGCTTTCAGTTACAGACAGTGTTCTAGATGGAAACTTTGTGTTGGCAACACTTTCAGATGAAAATAATCACAAAAGCAACACTAGGTAGGATAAAGATAGTCTAAGGAAAATCTGAAATGAGGCCCGTCTTACAATACTGAAAATGAATTATTGGGAAATATTATTGCTTAAACGTGTTTCATCTTGTGCTCTAATATTTTACTTTTGTCAGGTCGTGCACTCAACCTTTGCCCCCTCCTGATGACTTTATGAATGATGATATGGATTCCTACCTCATCGCCATGGACACAAGTATTAGCATTGTACCAGGTCCAGCAGAAATGGCCTCAACCCCGTTAGACAGAGCTGAATCTTCAAAATACAGAGCAGTGAATCACAGGACACGGCTACACAGTGAAGATGAAGATGAAATAGACCACACAGATGGGCCGCCAAATAAGAAGGTATATATTAAGTTATGTCAGGAATGTGAAATGTCAATTAATGTAAGAACTATAAATATAAAATTTGTTATTTCTAATAAGAAGGTATATATTAAGTTATGTCAGGAATGTCAAACGTCAATTAATGTAAGAACTATAAATATCAAATTTGTTATTTCTGTTTCTAAACTCCACGAAAAGTTTCAACTCAACCGTAATGTGAAGTACTGTTTTATCTTAAGTTTAATTTAGAAAAAAATGGTCCCATACTTGAGGAATGGTGATAGACTAGACAATGTGAATGAACTTGTTTATTGGTTTGAGCTTTTTTGTACTGACGGTTGCTTCATGTTATGGTGAACCAAAGACACATACAATTTTTGATGTTTCTTCTCACCATGATCTTAACCCTAAAACTGATCTCTCAATAGCTGGTTAGATTTTGAATATATATATATTTTTAACACTTTTTACTTTTGCAGTTTTGTTCACTTTTCTTTGGATCAGTCCTGCCTCCACCTTCTCAGATGTCTACTCAGCCCATGACGACTCAGGAAGTGTTGGCTAGTGACAGTGAAGATGAAACTCAGTTGGAATAACGTTTGACCCTTATATTACAGCTTTTATTTGGACAATAATGCGGGGGTTTAAAATAGTTAAATTATGAACAGAAGTCCATACTGTTAATTATTCTTCATAGTTTGATTGTCCCTGTAAATAAAAAACAGTATTTACTCAGATTTTGTTTAGTTTATTTTTGTATCACATAGTCTTTCAATGCCATCAGGTATTTACTGTAATAATTTTCAGCTTAACTTGAATTTAAAAGTACACATCTGCATATGAAGTTTCGTTCCTAGATTGTGAAACGGCATCTCTGAGTTGAAGCTTATCTTTCTCGCTTTGGGCATGAACACTTGTGCTCTTGTCCTGACCTCTTCTACTCTCTTTTTCCAACTCTTCTTTATTTTTTTCCTTTTCATCATCTTTCTCTTTTCTTTTCTGCTCTCTCCGTTGTCTCCTCCGTTCCCTGGATGTCAGCTTGCTTTCTACTTCTGTTACTTGGCCTATTTCTCTAACATCACTAAAGTCCTGAATCAGGATTTTGGGGACTTGTAGTTTGGGTTTGCTCTGTTTTTTGTTCTTTTTTTCTTCTCTCAGTCTGCGAAACAGACCAAAACGTTTTGGTGGATGTTCCTTGTGTGTTGTAGCCTCTGTCTCTGGATTTCTTGACATTTGGATAGTTTCATTGGTTTCTATGTGATCCATATTATTTATTACCTTCTGCTCCACTAATTGAGGAGTGGTGAAGAGATCTGCTGACAGCCTACGTGCAAACCTTGACCCACGAGAGCTGGATGATTTTCGGACCCTGAAATCTCCAGATGACCTGAAGTTATACTGTTGGTTGGTGTTCATAAATTCACATTCTAATTGGTGAATATCATTGCTTTCTTTCCTTGTTTGAAGTTCCTTATCTAGGTTATAAACATTACTCTGCTTTTCCTTTTCAGGAGTGCAATGTTTAAAATTTTGCGTGGAAGTATCTGCATCTGTGCTGAGATTTTCACCTGATGGCTCAGATGATGAACACTGCTGCGTTTGGGGCAACATATTGAAGTAAGTAGCCTCTTCTATTCCATCACAGGTTATTGGGATACTCTGAGAATCAACAAGTATTTGGGCTTCTGAAACCTCTAATTTAGCAGAAATATCTTGTCTAATGGCTTGAATGCCATTCCTGCAACTTTGTGTGAATATCTCTCCTTGAGTCTTTTCCATCTGTTTTTGAAGGTGTTTTGCATCCATATTAGGTGCGTCATTGCCACTCGAAGCTGCATCAGTAATTGGCTCTTGTGCTGCCAATTCATATATCTCTACTTCTGCTTGGTTGTGGGACTTGATTTCAGTTCCCGGTAATGACTCAGTTAAGTAAAATTGTCCTGCTAATGAAACCTTCTCCCCAGAATCTTTTGTCTCATTCTTACTCTCAGAGCGTCTAGTAGCTTCTGTAGCTAACTGTTTGAGTGACTTAACGTGATTTACACTGACTCTAATTTTCTCTTGTCCATTATCAACCTCTGTTTGTATGGTCTCATTTATTTGTACACTGGGTTGTACGTCTGTATTTGTGGTAATTGTATTAACAATTAAGTACGTTTCAACTACACTATCTTTGTTTGAATCGTCTTCTTCAGTATTAGTCGCATCTGGGTTTTGACTTGGCTCTTTGCTCGTAGTTGATTGTTTCTCTTTTTGTTGATTTGTAATGTCATCAATTTGTGGAAGTTTGGGATCTACATTTTCCTCTTGCTCGGGTGAGTCTGCTGCAGATTTGATTACTACTTTTTCATTTATCTGCTCTGTTTGGTCTTTAATAGTTATTTGAGGAACATTTTGTATTTGCTGAATTTCTGATTCTTCTAATAATTCATTTTGTTGGATTTGGTGTTCTTGCCCTGGGTCACTCTGCTTTTTCTTTTCTATTAAATCAAAACCATTGTCTTGTAGACTCTGAACCTTTTTAACATTCAGATTAGCCAAACTTCGGCAGTCCTCTTTTGCCCCCATGGAAAGATGTCTCATGAGCTTGACACCGCTTTTTGCCTTCACCCCCTTTTGCCATTTTGACGGTGACAAGGAGAGACTGGAGGCTGACCGAAAAAGAGGAACAGACAAGTTTCCTTTTTCTCTATCCCTCCTTTCACATTCTTCCGTGCTTTGTCGAGATCGCAGCCATGCCATGTGGTATCCCAGACAACGATCTCTGGGGTCAAAGGTGGACGAGGGCCGTTCTTTTCTCCATTTTTGTATTTCTTTCTCTGTCCGTTTTTGCAGATCTTTGGCTGAGAGTGACACCGACAGGACCTAAATGGACACAAATTATGCAAATTTACTGTATGTAATAATGGTGTTCCCTTATAATTTGTTTACTCAGAGTTCTAGATTCATGTTTGAGTAACCCTGTATTGTCCTGCATTTTGGGCTTGAGTGCTCAGAACATTTCTGTTTTCATCTACCCCCTTTCCCCCATCCACATCCATACACGAAGTTATTGCAATTTTTCAAAGCTAAAATAAATGAAAATACATTTAAATAAAACTTGCTGCAGTGAAATGTAGCTATGAAAAGGTGGGGCTTATTAAAACTGGAGGTCAGGAAGTCAATGGTTCCATTTCTTTTACAAAGTACTAGAAAAAAGGCCTAATATGTCTTCTTTAATAATTTATATATTGATTTTTGGAGGCAACATAAAACAACTTACTTCAAAAATGAAGTCATCTTCCTCATCTTTGACCTCCTCTCTGATGCCTCTGAGCTTCTGTAGAGTCTCCATCTGACCACAGCACTGTTTCCTCTGGTCTTCACGACCCAGAACCCGCTGTACCAATACCACAGCTACCTGCAACAACACCCGTACCCCTAAAACAGCAAGAATAGGAGAAATGCATAGGCTTGTAAATAATACACAATAGCATCACATTGAATGTTATATCCAGCATCTTCTGTCTTTTCCATTGTGCTCATACAATATGAGCTGCGTATACAACAAGGTTTCACTCAGTTGTTTTTGCCTCTGTTTAAGGTTAGTTTGATTTAACCATTACCATAACAGAAGAAGAGGTCCCACACTCTAAGCAGTGTGTTGAACGGTAAATGTCGGGTGAACAAGCACATGAGCCAGTCTGTGGCAAACATGAGCGGCTCCACACCATGATATTGCAGATGTTTGTGTGCAGCTGGACAGGACTTTTTTAAAACCCACATCAATATGGCAGCATCAAATAGCACGCCCTCCTGCATAGCATATGAGATTCAGTTATTTCTATATTGCAATGCAATACATGTTCAGGACAAGTATTTCACTTACAAGTAAGGGGCTGTAGTATCCAGGCAGGTATTGTTCACATATTTGCACCAAACACCAAAAAGCTTCCTGAAAAAAAAGAATAAAGTTTAAATGTGTTTATGTGTTACTTTAGAAGGTTATTTGTCCTTTGAACAAACAGTGAGTAACATTCTGTACCTCAGCAGGCATGTTCATAAGTAGGACTGCAGCCACTGGTCCTTGGGCCTGGCAGTATCCCTCCTCGGGCTTAAATTGTGTGTAGGCCTTCAAGACTTGAAACAGACTTCGCTGCCTGTTATATGACTAAATTCAATTAATTCTAAATTCTTACTGAGACACTAAATAAAATACATGTCACAAAGCAGACTAAAACAGATGCCCACCCATGTCCATCCTTGGCAACAAACATCTCGTGGAAAGGGAACTGACGGTCCAAGTCTCTCTCAATCACATCCTCCCACTGTGTTAGAGCAGGCTGTGAGTCCAGTAACTGTCACAGAAACACGGACTTCAACATAGTATACTATTCTGTATAAGAAAAGTAATTTCCCTGAACCAACAATACCGTGTATAAGTCTTTATGTTTTTTCATTTGGTCAGAGGCGCCGCTCAGCAGTGGCCAGCACTTTGCTCGGAGTGAAGCTGGTATTCCCTTATGACACTGCACTTTGATCTAATTCAGATATTCAAAATGTCTGTACAACATACACAAACACGTATTTTAAGTACTTGTGCCCACTAAGAAACATACCTTACTCGTTTTCTTGAGTAGCAACCGGTCCCACTGATCGATGATGTTGATCCACTTGGCCTCTCTCTGTCTCACGAGAACAGGAGATGGGCCCACAGTCCTGACGCTTAAACATGTTATATTTAAACGTATAATAAGTTACTCTTTGTCTGTAACAATAGTGAAGTACTGTTACTGAGCAAGAGGCTATTTTGCAGTTTGCACTGTTGTGCGAAAACAGGAAAACCACACGATGATAGAGTCAGGTAGCCCTGTCAACTGAGGTAGGAATACATAGGGGGAACTTTTATGTGTCATTTAAAGTTTGCTGTTACTTATTTACATTTCATAAGCAAGTAACATAAACTCCTTACATTCTGTTGCATGTGGCAAATACATTAAGTAAAGTTTCAGACTTCAAAGCAGACAAGGCAGACTGAGTTACATGCATTTTATAATAGTATATATATACATATATATATATATAAATATATTTATAAGTAACAGCTTCTCACCTATCAGTGGAGCCATCAGTAAGAAGGAACCCAAAGCGGTCTGTCTCTGGCTCAAGTCCAAGCTCTGACCCAGAATCCGAGCTGTCCCCATCACTGGGATTTTTCTGTTCAAGTCTTAATGTATTTAACATATTATTCCTAAAATAGAACAAAAGTAAAACTACAAGTGACCATATTTTGATGGTATTCGGTGTGTAGTTCATACGACAAACACTGCAAATATAAGAAACTGCAAAATTACCTTTACCATATCCTCGTGTAAAGCTCTGTATCCTCCCTGTCGGTGACACAAACTTCCTCTTTCTCAGCAGCACCATGACGACTGCTCTAGTATCAGCTAACTTTGACTGTAACAAAATACAAGAATCCAAAGCTCAGCCTTCACCTGTCAGTAAAATTGTTTAATATCTGGTCATATCATGGACTGTATAGCAGCCTTTCTTTTTCACTGTTCATTGCTTGACTTGATGTGATTATAATAACCACCAAAACAAAAGTTGTGGCCCTGGTGTTGCATACCTTGAGTTCCTGGTTTTTACTGTCAACATTACTTAATTTCTATATAGAGCATGGTAACATTAGGCCCTTTGATAAAAACAGCTTAATACTGTGCAGAGAGGGTACTATAGATGTATATGTGTAGAGACGGTTAGTACTAATTGTCAGTTTTATTTTCCTGTACTTTTCAGGGTTGTTTCCTAGCAATTTTTAAACTTGTTCTTTGATTTGAAATAAGCTAACAGTACTCTTACTCACAAAGGAAGAATAGCGCAAGTCACAAGCTATAATAGACAACATAAATAAACATTTAACACAATAATAGACTTTGCTATTAAGGCCCAGTAATGGTTTGTCCTGTTTAAACAAACTCAAACTACTTTCAAGTGACCATTAACTTACTGTGGTTTAGATATATAGAAAAGAAATATATATACATATATATGTATATATATATATATATATATATATATATATATATATATATATATAATATATGTATGTGTGTGTGTGTGTATATATATATATATATATATATATATATATATATGTATATATATATATATATATATATATATATATATATATATATATATATATATATATATATATATATATATATATATATATATATATATATATATATATATATATATATATATATATATATATATATATGTATATAAAATGTATATAGTTTATTATACATGATCTCGCTTCACGTCGTTATATTCCATGGTTTTGCCGCTGATGTGGTCACATGACGCGGGCGGAAACTGTCTCCGCTGAATCTCCCGCGAACACAGTCTCTTCCTTTCCGCGCAGATCCGTCGGGTGAGTGTGCTGCTGTCTCACGTTTAGGGTTTACTTAACATCACGCATTCAAACAAGTTAGTACCAATCTGATTGATCGAGTCAAAGACCATTATTCTTAATATGTTGAAATGGATTTGTTAATAGGTCTAGTGATGAACACGGAGGGTATTAAGAGACTTTTCTAGACCACTGGACTTTTTGTGCTAACAGTTGGCTAACTGGGCTCATGCGGTTTGTCTATTTGCCATAAAGCATTTGCACATTGGCGCTTTTGGGGAATAATGCTCTTGACAAACTTTTATCAGAACTCAAAATAACGTCGTATACTAATTCGCCAAAACGAGTACATTTAGACAAGGACTCGATCCATTTTCCCAACTTAGAAGTGCGGTCGCGCCTTGTCCTTTGGCGTTTTAGATTCACATTAAGATGGGTTACCTGCCTTACTACCTGGCATACTTTATATACTTTATCATTTATGTTTTGTAGTCAAACCTGCTTAGAAGGATGGTTGCGGCAAAACAATTTAAATGAATATGACTCTTGATAAACCGAGTTATTAATTTGCTAAATTACCCTTTTTTTTTTTTTTTTGTCTTCTGTATAAGTTGGCGAAAGTCTCCAACGGTTTAACCTAACCACATTGGAATCAATGGCACAACAACAAGCAATAGTTGAATTTAAGGTGAGTATTTCTATAGAAAGGTTATACTATTTTTATTTCGTTAGATCCTTGGGATCATTTCTGCCAAACACACTGAACCAGTATCAACCAGTCTAAACTAGGCTGTTATTCTTCCTATAGTTGGTGTTGGTTGGAGATGGAGGCACTGGCAAAACCACCTTTGTAAAAAGACATTTGACAGGAGAGTTTGAAAAGAAATATGTCGGTAAGTGAACATCTTTTTAACACTGGTTACAGTAAAAGTGGGATTTGAATATTGGATTTTTTCCCCCCACAGATTTCTTGCTTTCATGATATGCTCTGTTATTTACTCAGATTAACACATCTGTAATTTATGTTTAAAGATATTTTAAATAACTAATACATAAACATGATGTACAATTATTCACTGCATTGTCTTTCTTTTTCTAAAGCCACATTGGGAGTAGAAGTGCACCCTCTGTTGTTTCACACAAGTAGAGGAGCCATTAAGTACAATGTGTGGGATACAGCTGGTCAGGAGAAGTTTGGAGGTTTGAGAGATGGCTACTACATTCAAGGTAAATGTCAAACATGAGTAAAAAAAAAAATTAACCCATGCCATATTTTATGAAACCTGATTTCACTCTCTCCGCAGCTCAGTGTGCCATCATAATGTTTGATGTAACTTCTCGAGTCACCTACAAGAATGTGCCCAACTGGCATCGTGACCTGGTTCGTGTTTGTGAAAACATTCCCATTGTCCTTTGTGGCAACAAAGTGGACATCAAAGACAGAAAAGTTAAAGCTAAAAGCATTGTGTTTCATCGCAAGAAGAATCTGCAGGTAACAACCTTGTTTATCAAGACTTTTAATCCGTTACTTGATTTAAAAAAAAAAAAAATTTTACTGTATATTTTCTGGTGGCTATCTCGCTGGTCTTTCTTCTAGTACTATGACATCTCTGCCAAGAGTAATTACAACTTTGAGAAGCCTTTCCTTTGGCTCGCGAGGAAACTGACTGGTGATCCTAACCTTGAATTTGTGGCAATGCCAGCCCTCGCTCCACCAGAGATCCACATGGACCCATCTATGGCTGCCAAGTATGAAGCAGAGCTTCAAGTAAGTCACCTCTCATTTCTTGTTTTTCCATCTTATTGATGCCACTCTTGACCAATCTGTCCATTTTTCCAGGCTGCATCAGAAACGGCACTCCCAGATGAAGATGACGACCTCTAACATGTTTGTCCTTTTGTCTCTCTTTGGTGGTGGATAGGAAGCTGGACTTTTCCCCTTACTGTAAAATCTCCCTTCACTTTTTGTTTCATTTGTTCGTTTAAAAGCTTTATCTTCAGGTTTAAATTTAAAGTTTTCACCGCATTTTGTCTTGAGCAAATGGATGAGATTGAGGAAAACTACAATAACTAAGACAACCAGGTTTGTTTGGGAGTGGATAAAAGCTAATTTCAAGCAGTGAAATTAGTGAAAAGCTTTCAGTCTTTTTAGACGCTTCAGTCAGTGTTTAAACTGTTAGCTGCAACACAAGCCACAGCTTGTTAAATGAGTGTCCTGTTTGTCCTCTGGAACAAATAAATTATTGTGGAATTTGACTTGTTTTAGGTCCTCAATATCTGTGCCAGCAATATACCAGTGTTTGAAATGCCAAATTTATCACCCAGTGTTGCTTTTCATTGATCTCAAATCATTAACTTTTTTTTTAACCATTTCTGGGTTTAATCTTTTACATAATTTCTTTCATTTGTTGCCCATTTTTATCACTTATTCTTGACAATACTTGATTGTGCTCGCTTGTTTATGTAATAAAATGGTAAATTTGGAAAGTTAAAAGTAGTTTGTAACAGATTTTGAAAATTCAAGTAACCAGAACACTCTTGTGGACACGTGATAGTTCAGGAATTAATCTGAGTACTCAAAGTAACTTGTCTATTATAACAAGTACCTCTGCATCTGCACTAATTGAGTTAAGTTTTTTTAAACCTTAAACTGCTTGAACATATTCACAGGTATAGGTGCTTGTTAGAGCAAAAACCTTTTTTTTTTTTTTAATTGACAACATGACAAGGAACAAATAATTTAATATCCAATTAACACTAAAAAAAACCCACTTTCTTTGGTTTTTCACAAATTTAACTGAAATGTCCAATCTAATACTGTATAAATGCACAGGTATTTTTAATTTTGAAAATCCTCTGTGCATTTAATGTATATGATATTATTTTAAAATTGAGTGTATTCAAATGTATAGCACTATGCTCTCCGCCAGTAAATGTTGGTTTCTTATCTTAAGAACCAGATTATACCCTGGGCCAGTGTGTAGTATTTTTGGGGCATTGTTATATTTTACTCTGAACTTATAAATCAAACTGGATTTGAGAGACACAAAGAGTAAACTTGAACCTACCTGCAGACTTAAATTAAACTTGCTTCTAACATTACTCCACAAGGATACTGGCCAATGTTACATGGTCAGAAAAATCTGATTACTGGAAGTTATATGATTTGGAGCATTTATATGAACTCCAGACATATGATTATAAATCATTTACATGTTTTTGTTTGGCAGTGGAGTTTTTAAGTAACAAATGTTGGAAAGACAAGAACATGTTTCAAAGAAACCTCTCTACCACAGTGTATGGGATGCAGCAGTTGTAACAGAAGTCCAGGATTTTAATCCTGCCAGTGCCATCTAGTCTTAGTCAGTTGAACTTAAAGATGTCCTATAATTACTTGCCTAAGCAGTTTTTAAAATGGCTCAAATTGTGGTTTTTATCTGACTACCAGGTTTAGAAATCCCTACTAATCCAAAGGTGAGGGTTTATATTCCAGCTTCTATCACACTGTTGTTGCAACTTATGCAAAGTCGAAAATGTATGTATTATTAGTAAAACTTTCAAATACGCTTAGCTATTTTATGTCAATATATTTGCAATAAGAGGAGGTAATTAATAAATAATAAAAGAAATTAATAGATAATGCACCTCTCCACAAAGTGATATACCTGTATTCGTCAGAAGGGGGCAGGATAACGCGCCCCCAGCTGCAGCCTTAGGAAGTGATTTAGAAGAAGAGTGCGCTCCTGCTGCTGCACCGGGTGAGTGTGCGCCTCACGCTTTAGCTTTATTTCAGAACATTATCTATGTAAAGTAAGTAACAGTCAACCTAAAGATCTTAAATACCGTTAATAATATTTTTTACAAACTAATATTGATAATGTTGTTGTGTTTAAGACGGTGTACTCGGGTTATTTGTCTGTTTTTGTGCTTAGAGTTGGCTAACTTAGCTGATGCGGTTAGCTGCGATGAAAGAGCGCCTCGCATGAGGCTAGTCTGTTAGCATATTAGCACTTGCATTTTGCCGCTTTTGCTCTGTAAAGTCGATAATATTTAACAAGTTAACCATGTCTCAAAGTAAAATAGCCTTTCCATTGGTAAGAACGAAAGGTGTATGCATTTTTGTTTACGTTTAGACCAGGAACCAATGATGTTCGCTGTCTCAGTGCTCCAGTCGAACAAGGAAAAAGTGCGGTCGCGCCTTGTATGGCGCATTCATACCAACTAGGTTTCTTAGTGGACCAGACAGCCTTCTATCTTGGCAATCACAGTTAATCAAATTATTTTAATGATCAATCTGTTTTTGGTTTAGATTATAGATGACAAATTAATGAACGAACCAATGGTGTACTGAACAGGACTATATCACATGTTGTGTCCAGATTTTAACGCGGTGTTTTCTTTCCTCCAGTTAGTTGACGAAAGTCTCCAGCGGTTTAACCTAACCACATTAGAAACAATGGCGCAACAACAGGCAATAGTTGAATTTAAGGTGAGTATTTCTATAGAAAGTTTATACTAGTGGTGTTTTATTCTGTCAAGTCCTTGGGAGATTACCCGTCTGCCAAACACACTGAACCAGTATCAAACAGTCTAAACTAGGCTGTTATTCTTCCTATAGTTGGTGTTGGTTGGAGATGGAGGCACTGGCAAAACCACCTTTGTAAAAAGACATTTGACAGGAGAGTTTGAAAAGAAATATGTCGGTAAGTGAACATCTTTTTAACACTGGTTACAGTAAAAGTGGGATTCGAATATTGGATTTTTTCCCCCCCACAGATTTCTTGCTTTCATGATATGCTCTGTTATTTACTCAGATTAACACATCTGTAATTTATGTTTAAAGATATTTTAAATAACTAATACATAAACATGATGTACAATTATTCACTGCATTGTCTTTCTTTTTCTAAAGCCACACTGGGAGTAGAAGTGCACCCTCTGTTGTTTCACACAAGTAGAGGAGCCATTAAGTACAATGTGTGGGATACAGCTGGTCAGGAGAAGTTTGGAGGTTTGAGAGATGGCTACTACATTCAAGGTAAATGTCAAACATGAGTAAAAAAAAAAATTAACCCATGCCATATTTTATGAAACCTGATTTCACTCTCTCCGCAGCTCAGTGTGCCATCATAATGTTTGATGTAACTTCTCGAGTCACCTACAAGAATGTGCCCAACTGGCATCGTGACCTGGTTCGTGTTTGTGAAAACATTCCCATTGTCCTTTGTGGCAACAAAGTGGACATCAAAGACAGAAAAGTTAAAGCTAAAAGCATTGTGTTTCATCGCAAGAAGAATCTGCAGGTAACAACCTTGTTTATCAAGACTTTTACTTACTTACTTACTTGATTTTTAATTTTTTTTACTGTATATTTTCTGGTGGCTACCTGGCTGGTTTTTCTTCTAGTACTATGACATCTCTGCCAAGAGTAATTACAACTTTGAGAAGCCTTTCCTTTGGCTCGCGAGGAAACTGACTGGTGATCCTAACCTTGAATTTGTGGCAATGCCAGCCCTCGCTCCACCAGAGATCCACATGGACCCATCTATGGCTGCCAAGTATGAAGAAGAGCTTAAAGTAAGTCACCTCATTTCTTGCTTTTCTATCTTATTGATGCTCTCTTGACCAATCTGTCCATTTTCCCAGGTTGCATCAGAAACGGCACTCCCAGATGAAGATGACGACCTCTAACATGTTTGTCCTTTTGTCTCTCTTGATCGTGAATATGAAGATGAAATTTTGCCCCCGTACTGTGAAGTCCCGTCAAATATTTTTTTTTTATTTTTGGATTATTTTGTTTTAAAACGTAAACTCAATGGAAAAGTTTTGGGCCTTATTTCAATGTATGACACACCCTCTTGTTGTTTGGCATGACGATGTGCTGATCATCATATAGCATCCTCTGCTGCACTTACCCAGCTCACATAATGCTGTTGTATGGAGTAAAAGAAACATTAGAGGGAGTAAACTTTGAATAAAACAGTTCTAAGTATTTCATGTCTGTCTTAATTTTTTGAGTGACTGTGGTGACATGCATTTAAGGCTTTGCCCTTCACTAAATCAGTGTCTGCCTTTAACCTGTTAAATTGTTCTAATTGACAAACTTTTTAATCCCCTTCCAGAATTTACTGAGTACAGGTTGAATATGTGATGAGACAAATTGCTCTGGTGGCTTTCCTTCCCTAACCCGTGTTTAGATGATGTATTTTAATATGTGACAAAGAGACTGTTGCACCATGGGCATATACAAAATTGCATTGCTCTTTTCAGGAAACTTAAAGGTTGTTTCAGTAAGTGTGATTGCCCTAACAGATGAAATATTTAGTCAGCCATCGTAAATTAAATTTATTGGCCACTAGATGTCGTCCAATGGCTCTGGGAGTGGGACGACATTAAATTGCATAACCCAAGATACAGACAATATTTAAATACTGTAAGTGTTAGGGGTTACCTACCTTTTTTGAGTACTACCTGACGATTCTCACGTTTTCAAAACTGAAATATAAGGTAAACTCACATGTACAAATTTTCTAAATATGCAGTTAGACGGTGAAACATAAGCCATAACTGGACCATATTTTCTTGTACGTTCTTCTTTTCTATGGAAAACCAGTCACTGTACTCCATTCCTTTTAGCAGTTTAAGAGGAGTGGAAAAAGTGGCAATGGAGAACAGTGGCGGTGCAGGTGTCCCTCTTCATCATGAGGCGTGGCCACATCCCGGCAGAGGCACACAGCAGGTTTGGCGCATGCGTCACACAAAGTGCGTTTTACGATGATTACTGGTGGACAGAGGAGAGGCAGATTATACTGCTCTACACAACTGTTGTTTTAATCCTTTGGGCGTAGAGATTTAGCAAAGAAAAACACTGGCTTTAATATCTAGCAGCCATATTGTATGGAAAAGCAACGGAAAGGCTCTTCTTGTCCGCCGTTTTACCAAATCGTTTACTATCAAAACTTGAAGTTTAATTTTACACTTTCTGACGCTGGACTTGTGCTGGCCAGCTAGCTTGCCAGCTGGCTGTGTTTTACTCAGATCTGGACTTGTTTTGAAAAAGATTTTCAGCGTTTAGGGTTGGTCTTCTGATAAGGTTAAAAATCGCCTCGAAGATGAAGGATCGATTGGAGCAACTCAAAGCGGTAAGAAATGTTCAGGAAATCGGCTGTAAATTGTGTATTATTATGTGGTAACAATAACATCACACTTAGAAATTAATCAAACCATAGCGTAGGTAAGATAACAATTTAACATGAAAGAATTCTCACTTTTATTCTTCTTTACTAACTAAACCTCATTTATAGGCTACAGCAGTACTCAGTTAACCCAGCTATAAAAGCATGTACACTGAAATATTTATTTTTTATAAAATAATGTTTTGACCCCCTGTGGACTATAACATCGATCTAAGACATTAGTTAGTTCTTTTATAGACGTGTGTTATATTGTGACTGTCAGGTGTCAGAGTAGTTTACAACAGGTTAACCAAGTTAATGTTAAACTCTGTTTGGAAGCTAGATAATGATTTTATGTTTAGTTTCCTATATTAATCTATTATCCTGTGTTAGACTTTTTGAGTTGTATGTTGTCTGAACTAAATACTTATGTTTATGTTAATATACAAAATATATCATTACTACCTTAAATATGGATGTGTTCAGTAATAATGTCTATCTGTGGACAAGTGAAATGCAATAACTGCAAAACTCCTTCAACGTCAGTATAGGCTCATCATAGACTAGCACAGGCCTGTTGTTATAGTTACAATAAAGCACTCACCAAATATTTGCAGTGTTCTGTTGTTTAAACTCTGGCAGGTTGCCTTCCAGGCTTTGTTACATTTCTTTAGGAAGTGCAGTAGTAAACCTTCTCATAGGCCCAATCTTATTTTATAGATTCACATCTTTGGACCCATACAGAACCTAAATTAAATGACTGACTGAGGCTCACCAAGGCATGTTTCTGCCCATGTTATATTTTATTGCATTAAAATAGCACTCCCATGGTGGCGGCTGATATACTGTCTACTGTTAACACTGTTATAGTTGGCAATGCATTGTAGAAACCTGCTAGGGGAATACATAATCTAATATCTATTATATTTAACTCACTAACTAACTAAAATTCAGTTTTACTTTTCTGTCCCTATAGTATTAAAGACCCCTTATGTTATGATCACAAATACGGGATCATATTAGTGATATATGGCAAAATATAAAAGTATGTTTTTCTTTGTGTTGTGTTAAGGCTGATTGGATTGACCTTTCCAATTATTTGCTATAATCCTGGCTTTTCAAGAGAGATTGTCTGTAAGAAGCGAATCACGACAGTCTGTTTCAGCATTATCGTCTGTCTAGTGGAGCCATTGCCCTGTTGCTTGGAATTATGTAACAAGATGTATATAGTGCTTTGTATTGTATTTTTCTAAAATCTTCTCTTGGTCATTAAACATGGAAAATATGCTGCCTGTATTTGGTCGATAAAGAATGTGTTAAAGAATAAAACCCCTTCCCCTGTTTTTGCTGATTCAGTACCACCAGAAGGAAATGAGTGAATACTCTTATCTTGGTGCTACACCAAGACAGTGTGAGAGAGTGTAACATGAACAGCACTTGTTTCAGTGCTTAACTTGTACTGAAGAGTTCAAAATCACTCGCTGTGTCTGAGAATTTGTACCTCGTAACATTTGCAATGCAAACGCAGGATGACGAATGTAACTGCAGGCACAATGGAATAGACTACACTACTTCTTTTTCTTTAGATCCTCAGTCTTAAAGGTGCACTTTGGACCTCTAGTGGAGGGTCTGCCACCTGCTTGTATCCATGGAGTTATTGTGTTTAACTAGAAAGTTAAACATTAAATGTTATTTAATACCAGGTATTTCTTTTTTTTTTGCTCAAAAAGAAAAAAAACATGCATTATGGGCTCGCTTCTCCAAAAATCTGACCTGGTACTTGGTCTGATGATTCCACTTGTGTGTCCTCATGGAAAGGTTTTATTGCCACACTGCACATCTCCACAGTTCACATTCTATAGTGTTACAATACAGTTGAATGTTTTAGAGTGAATGTTGGCTTAGTTGGCTCTCTCTTGGTCATGTGATAAAAGGGCAGGGAAACGCACAGCTGTTTGGTTCTGTCAACATTGTAGGTGTATGCAGAAACTTAATAAGACAAATGTTCACTTTAGACTGTCAGGTGAATTGGTAAACACAATTATCAAACCCAGACTGTAACACCTGTGGACTGTGACACCTTTTGCCTGTTTTTATGGTGACCTACATGGCGCCTGCTTATTGTCTCCTGTTGTGGTTTTCAAAAACCAGTTGTGGTTTTCAAAAACGGGTTGTCTTCCTGGAGCTAAGTACTCATCTCATGTGAACCTGAGCCCACACCTGTGTCCTTTATTTGCTCACTGTGTATTCCTTGGATTATTGTTGTGACAATAATCCAGTAATGGGTTTGTCCTTTGACTCACACAACTATGGTTTTGCTTTTCTAATAACCTTTAACCACAAAGTCCTTTAACCCTTAATTTAACTCTAAAACATTCATTGGTTTTATGGAAATAGGGCAACATTTTGGATTTAAAAGCTTTTTTTCTTCCTTGTGTGTAGACTTGTGATCAAGATGACGATGAGGTGGAGATCGCTGTGGACAATGCAGCCTTTATGGATGAGTTTTTCTGTCAGGTAAGTGGCAGAGATGTTTTTCTTAACTTAATGCTGTTTCCTTATCAAATCATACTTGGAGTTGTGTTTTGTTTTCATTTGGGGTGATATGTTGATAAACATTAAAAAACAAAAAAACATTGACTACTGTGATGATCTGCTGTTCTGGTAATACTGTTGTTTCGAGCAGAAACATTTCCCCACCCACTCCTCCTACTGATCATGGTCTTGTGAGTGACAGCTGGATTTAACCACTCACAGTAAAGTGTGGACTCTCAGAAGCAGCACATGGCTTTAGTTGCCTCCTAAAGGCAATATAAAAATATCAGGGTTACATGAATTTTGATCACATTGAAATTGTGATCAATCAAGCATATTTATGGAATTTCTCTTTTTGAGAGATCAACATTTTGGAACACTGTTGCCTATAATAGTCTTTTATACAGTTGAAAATAATACATATGGAAGATTTTGATTTACCTCTAGTTTTATGCAGTAGTACGATTGACATTTAAGCAGGTTCGGGGCTGGTTAGTGGAGACCACTGAGAAAATGAGGTGCCACAGTGGGGCGCCACTCACAAGAAGTGTCATTGCGTTCTTAGGCAAGGCACTTCACCCACATTGGCTAGTATGAAAATGGTGTGTGTGTGTGAGTGTTGGTGGTGGTCAGAGCGGCCGATGGCGCAGATTGGCGGCTGTGCTTCCGTCAGTCTGCCCCAGGGCAACTGTGGCTACAGCAGTAGCTTACCACCAATGGGTATGAAGAGAATGAATAATTCTCTGTAAAGCGTCTTTGTGACATGTCTGTGAAAAGCGCTATATAAAATAAACATACTAAACATACTGAACATTTGTATTTCAGATTGAAGACATCAGAAGCAGTATTGATAAAATTGATGAGAATGTGGCTGAAGTCAAAAAGCTTTACTCTGTCATCCTATCTGCTCCCACATCAGATCAAAGTAACCACCAGTGTTTTATATATCTAGCTATAACATCCGTCTGAGAAAAAGGTAAAAGTGAAGTCAACTTTGTAACTTCTTTTCTACCCAGAAACGCAAGATGACCTTGAGGCAATCACCAATGACATCAAAAAGATGGCAAACAATGCAAGGAACAAACTCAAGAGTGAGTAAGGCTTTATTTATGATAACTGTAAACCTATACTATGTACCACTCTAAATGTACTCTTTTGATACAATGCCTTTTATATCATTGCAGCAATTGAGAGAAATCTGGAATCTGAAGAGCAGGAGAGGATCTCAGCTGATATGCGGATACGAAAATCACAGGTTAACAACTCTGCAACAAAGTTAGAAATGTTTAAGAAATAGAGCATGTCTAAAAATAAATTCTGTTCTGTTGTTTTATATCTAGCATGCAGTACTTTCTAGAAAATTTGTGGAGGTAATGACAAAGTACAATGAAGCCCAGGTAGATTTCAGAGAGAGGAGTAAAGGGAGAATTCAAAGACAGCTAGAGATCAGTGAGTAGTTGTTCCACACATAACTTAACATAACATAAGTATTTTCTGGTGTTTGTAAATTGAAAGTACTTTTCTTATAGCTGGGAAAGCAACAACAGACGAAGAACTTGAGGAAATGCTGGAGAGCGGCAATGCGGCTGTTTTCACTGCAGGGGTGCGTAGTGGATGTGTCTTGCAATTGCGTAGTAATAAATTCATATGTGTATGTTTGAATGCAGTACTTTTGTCATTTAGATTGTAGACTCTGGGATTTCAAAACAAGCTCTTAGTGAAATTGAATCCCGACACAAAGACATTGTCCGTCTTGAAAGCAGCATCAAGGAACTGCATGATATGTTTGTTGACATTGCCATGCTGGTGGAAAGCCAGGTACGCTCTGTTGAAAATGATCACAAAATAGTTACAATAGTTACACGTTAGAATTCATTTAAGCATTTCATTTCTATCCTATTCTTTAATCTCTTCATTTTAAACCCACTGTTGACATCCATCTGTATCTTTTTTTTCCTTTTCAGCTGCTCATTTTCCATAAATGTTTTTTTTTCCCCTCTTTGACTGTTTCCTTCATCTCATCACCATTACACCTCAGCTTTGATTAAACTTGTAGGTAAACCCATACAACTGCATGCATGACTATGGAACAATTATACAAGTACTCTTAAAATTAAACACATGTTTCTTGATGCTTGCATTTTGCTTTCTGAGGAATTGTGTGTGAGGTAAGACTATTTGCCTGTTCCTTTTATTACAAAATATTATGTTACTGGGATACACATTTTTACTAATGTAATGTAACTGGCTCTGCCTTGTATGGTGACTGTTCTGATCACTACATCTTAGGCTAAACATGGCCATGTAATTAGGTTGACATTTTAGTGAAACATGGGAAACTCGGTATTTAGAACAAATTCAAGCATTATATGATATTGCAAGAAGTCTGCAACGTTTCTCTGACCTCATTTTTTTGTCTGCCCTCTTTGCTCACTACTGCATAAGTAAAAAATCATGTTCTCATTTTCACATTGATTATTCTGTGTTTTCCAGGGTGATATTGTAGACAACATTGAGCAGAATGTATCAAAGTCAGTGGACCATATTATAGAAGCTAAGGAAGAGACAAAAAAAGCTGTAAGGTATCAGACCAAAGCCCGCAAGGTACTGACTACTCTTGCTAAAATTAGCACTTGTTTTTTCAGCTGATTTTCTAAGCTCTAAACTCAACAGTTCAACACATTGCTACCACTGTGTGTATTTCTCGCCATTCTCATCTCACGTCTGCAACGTTTGCGTTCTGCCTTTTTTCTTCACATTTTCAAATTGATTTCTGTTACTTCTCTTTACTGTAAACGCATGCCACATGTTAGGGAGGGATGATTGAAAGGATTGAGAGTAACATGGACCAATCCGTGGGCTTTGTGGAGAGAGCTGTAGCAGACACTAAAAAAGCGGCAAAATTTCAGCAAGAAGCTCGTCGCGTGAGTGACCAAAGTGAAAATAAAATGAGCTGGTTTCCCAAATGCCTAAGAGATCACTTACAGTTATTTAAATCCACCCACATCAGGCAGATTATTTGCTGATGTGCTACAGGCATGAAAAAGGGCAAGCATAAGGATTACTGAGTTTAACAAGAGCAAATTGTGATATCAAGATGGGGGTGTCAAAGTGTCTCATTCAGCAAATGTGAAGTGTTCATCTTGGTCAGCAGTGGTCACAGTTTGTCACTGTTGACAACAGCTAAATGCAGCTTTCTGATTGCACATTGGTGATGTGAGTGATATTATGCTTGCCTTTTTATGTGATCAAATAATGTTCTATGAAATGAAACACTACTATAGAGCATCACTGTTTTTGAGGGTCATGCTCTTATCTTATTAGGTTTCTTGCCTCTTCTGACAATGCTTTTATTGAGCAATGCATTGAAAGGAGTTGCTTTTGGGAAAAGCAGGTCATAATTTTGAAGATCATTGTGATTGTGAAGACCCCAAAGCAGAGAGAGACCGATACATCAGGTTGATATTTGCACTTTTTAGCATATCAGCTATTGAAAACATATCGGTTTATCTCTGTCCTGAAACTTACCTTCATTATATGTTTACCTTTTTTTTCCTGGTGACCTGTGCTTGAGTTGTACAAATGTGGACAATAATCCCCCTTTCCACACTGCACTTATTACATCATTTTAACCACAATGTTTGTCTTCAGTGCTAACCACAACTTTTGATTTGCAGCTCCCTAAGGGGAGTGGTAGCATAAGATCAAGTGAGAAGCCATTATTTAAGGATCTTTTCCGTATATACTATTTTATGCCTGCAACAAAAAGTGTGCAAAAACTTCATGCATAACAATAACCTGTTTAAAAATTATTTTAAAAAGTGCTATATTTATTTATTTACTGGAACTGTAGTTACTGGATATTAAACTAGTATTTTTTAACAATTCAAATATGTTTCCAACAGAAAACTGTGATTCTGGTGGTGGTTGTTATCATCTTGTTGGCCTTACTAGCTCTCATAATTGGGTTGTCAGTGGGACTGAAAACATAAACTTTAACATCAAAACTAATGGTGAGTAACTATGAACAATGTCTGTCATCACTGAATTATAATACAGGTGTGTGCTCAGTGTGCGTCATGTGTGTGTGGTTTGCCTCTGACCTTTTATGACTTACCAGAAGATAGTGTTGTTTCCCATCAGTATTTGCTTCTGGTTAATCAAATTAACCTTTCCATTCCAATGTAAAGCTTTTACTTAAGTTGTACATGTGATGTGTGTCTGTCTCATTTATTTGTCAATCTTAAGTACAGTACAGTACAGTTATTTTATTTTAATTTTTTTATGCTCTTAGAACATCATTGTGGTCATCAAATCATCTTCCAATCTACACCATGGATACTCCACCTACCTCCTGATCACCCCCACCCAGTCATTAGTCGCTCATTTTAAGACACTTAAAAACATTTGAACCATTTCCATAGTAATCACTGAATGGCTGCAAAAATGATGACGCCACTGAGCACCTTGTTGGTGTAAAGGTGAAATGAGGAAACGAGACTGCACTGACATGTATTGTACTTGCTGTACAAGAAAGGATGAAAAAAATTATTCAAAAAGAAAGTTTGCTTATGTTGCTGAGCGCTGTTCTCGTCAACATATTGTGCCAAAGAATCAATATATTACAATGTATATTAATAGAAGGATGCAAACCTCACCTAATGTTTTATTGTAATGATTGTAAATGCTAGCTACTATATGTCATTTGTACTGTGAGTTTGACTTCAAGTCATAGCACTTTCACATTTCATTGTCTTAACTACTGATGTGAAGATTTTATCATCTTGTATATAATTGTTTTATGTCAAGAGTTCTAACCATGTTTTGGAGAGGAATGGTCTGCACACTTATGATTCTTCAGCGGGTAAAAGATCAGATTGTTTTCTATGTGATATGTTTGGACTGGTCATTTTGACACATGTCCACATCTGGACTATGTGTTTAAATAGAGAATGTCAGTGTTGGCTATATTGACTGTTAACATCACTAAGCAAGAGATGTATGTAGTTAATTATTTGTTGCTACTGTTTTTTTCACCAAAGGGTTGTAAATGTGCACAGCCAATTCTGAGGCATATTTATATAAACTTATATGATCTTATCTTTATGTTTCAAAATACAAATAGAGACATTTTATATAATGAAATGTCATAAGTTCAAAATAAATATAGATTTATTTATTTTTTTAGTTCATGAGTGACATTCTTTTATAATAAAATAGTGGTCCATTTGTTTTGGTGACTGACTGAGCATGTTAACAATTGTGTTTAAAAATATCTCTAAAGCAAGTAAAGGAGGTAAGTGTTTCAGTTTTTATTTTCACACACACATATAGTTCTGCATTACTATGTTCCCCTTTTTACCCAGTTTCCTCAATTTCCATTGTGACCACTAATGAAAGTTCATTGTATGTTTTTGGATTCTATGTTTACCCATTTCTCTCACTGGTCTCTCTTTTATGAATAAAACTATAGAAAAAGATGATGATTACCTTATGCTGTGCCATCATTGGAATAGTTGGATTCTCCTATCTCTACAGCTTCTTCTCCTAAACTGTAAGCATAATTAATAAAGTAAACACATTTAATATTTATAAAGGTAATGATTGTGGTGTTTTTGACATTGATATTTTAGGAAAGGGTGTTTCAAGATGACGAAAGCCCATACTTCCCCCGGATTTAGGACAGATATATACTTTTTTCCTTCAATAATGATATGATTTTTTTCTTGAACTGAAAGTGTGTAGATTTTTATCTGTCGGTTTGCTGTTCTGCCTATTAAAAAAACAGATGGCTTAACATGTGACATTTATAATCGGTTTTAGTGCCCTCTGTTGGTGCATTATGAATATTTGTAAGATTCACGTTCTCGACATTTTTCAGTACATTAAGTATAAGTACATTCGTGCACTTAAACATGGGCCTAACTGTGCTTTCAAGTATTTCTTTTCTGATGCGTAGGCTATTGTGTGATTTGTTTGCATGCATGTGTTGCTGAAATGCTTTTTTGTGATGGTGTAATTGTGGCTATCAAGAATCGACCCTGTAAAGCCTCTTATGTAATAAAATATCTGGTTTGCTGTCACAGGATGTCGGTGTTTTGTATCAGTTTCATACACAGAAACACGGGCAACTAAGTATAAATTCGTTCTTTTTTTGGCCTGGATAACCATAGACTATAACATTTTGACCTCATTTCATCCTCTCTTCGCTTTTTGGCAAACCCAGACCCCGCCTCTAACCAATGGTTTATCCTCCTAGGGGCGGACTATACGTAAGGGTACGTTTGTTTTAATGTTTCTTATCGCTCATTGACGCTCTCATGACGTTGGACATTTTTAAAAGTTAATTTGATCAAAATCTAAATCATTCCACAATTGGTTATTGATCTATGCTTTTAAAGTGGCACTCTCATAAAAAAATAGCATCAGGTTAAAATAAGTGTATAGTCATTGAAAATAAGCAAAATGACATAATTGCTTTGCATAATACGATAGTAAATTATAAACAAAACAAAATAAAACAAAAGTATGCATAGAAAAAGAGTCTGACTGAATATGTACAAAATGTACAGTGAGTATAACCATAGTGTTGGACACTTTTGTATGTCTAAACATGCCCTTGCACTTTAAAAAAATACAAAGTCACAATAAAACGCGCATACTGATATGAAGCAAAGATGAAAAATGTCAAACAACATTCCAGTAGAAATCCCATCGAGCGCACCTGTAATGTAATGTATGCTAATCATGTTTAAATAGCACATGGTCCGTCCAATAGCAGCTCTCGCATGTTCATGTTAATAAAGAGAAACAGCGTCGTAAATACGGGGGCGGGTCGTGTGTTCTTTCTCCGCTTGTGTGTGTGTGTGTTTTTGGACCAGCTGAAAATGGCGGCCCGGAGCGTCGAATCGGTGTAACTTTATCACAATAATAAATACAGCAATAAACGCAGCGGGGATAACGTAACATGGGAAGAAACTTCGCTGCGACCTAAGACCAGCTTTAGTCTGGAAAGCTACTATTACGTCCACGGTATAAAGGAGTAAACGCTAAAACGCACAGGTAAAGATACAAGTGCTTTACAACTGCGGTGTAGTGGCTACCGTCAGCTAGCTGCAGTATGCTAACGACTGTGAAAAGGATGTCCAAAGAGCTGGGTTTTGTTTGCAGTGTACGCAGTTTAAATGTAGGAATTGCATTGCCGTGTTTCACGAGGGTCCTAAATTAAGCTGCCACACTTCATTGCATACTGGCATGAATATAGTTTTGTGTTTTCAGGTTTAGTACTTGTTGTTTAGCTAGGCTTCTGGCTAACTTGACAACAACATTACAGGCTAGCATTGGCTAATAGCAGCGCAAGGCTAGTAATGCTCTTTAAACGCTGCAGTTGCACTCTTGTTTATGTTAGTATCATGGTTTATCACCATTTTAATTTTAATTGTTTAAATGTATTTCAAGTGACAAGGCTTTTTTTATTCTAGCGACAATGGAGGACCCCAATACTAGATACAGCAAACGTCTGGTAAGTATCTTATCCTATGTCATGTGTTAAAGTTAACATTATGGCGTTTTTGTTTTTACACCTATTAACTTTTGCATTGTGTAAAATATCAGCTCGTTGGTTTATTAGGTGGCCTAATTACTGAAATTGAGCAATGTGGCGTTATATTTTTGCAATGCTAGCTGTTAATTGTAATGAACCTATTGAGTTCAAGCTAAGGTCAAGTTCACATAGTTAGTGCAATGTAGCACTGACCTTATGACACCACTTTACAATGTTTACTTTTTGTTGTCTGGGCCTTTCAGCAACCCTTTGATTTTATGTCTCCATTGTTGGCAGGTCTGTGTAAAGACTTCACTCTCTGGTTCAGTCTCGTTACCAGTAGAACTTTTACTAGACACAGTCAGCCACAGTTCAGAGGCCAGTAACAGGCAGGGCCATAAAGATTTTGTAAATTAATTAAATTAATTTCCCTTCGTAATTTTATATAAATATTAATTTGTATTTGGGTAACTTTTTGAGAGAAACCAACTTTGATCATTTCAACATACAGTTTGGATGTAGTGTGTGTAGCGAAAAATGAAAATGCACACCAACCAGATTGATACATGGTTGGGGGATGGGAGATGATTTGCAAGTGTTTGTCCTTATCCATCTGTCTAGCCAGGCATTGCTGCTGAGGGTGAGTGGCAGGGAAATAAAGGAGGAGGGGGCAGTTTGTGAAAGATTAAGCCGTGTCTTTGTGGTCCTATTGTTCGATTTAGCTATTAGGTACTTGGTGCTGAATTAGAGCGATGCACTTAATAACATGTTAATAGGTGATTTTCCAAGTATTATTCTATTCAATTACAAAAATGTGATAAAATAATAAATTTATTCACTGAATAATACACACACTTGTTTGTCTCCCTCAAATCCAGGAGCAAAGCCTTGTCTAATCTACAGTGGCAGAATCAAGAGTAATAGGACTTTACTAATAATAAGTCTATACTTTTTCTTTTATGTTTGGACAGTAGTTAAGTAATGAAATAATGGTGACTTTATGACCAAAATAATCATTATAATTTTGTCATTATGAAACGGCTATATATCTATTGCATACATTTTACATGATATCTGGTGATATACATTTTACATCTTGTTACCAAGGATGATTTAATGCATGTACATTTGATATTTTTTATGTTGTAAAATTGTATCAAACCTCCGTGCTGTTTTGTCATTAGCGTACAGGTACGCGGCGACGTTACCAAGATGATGGAATCTCCGATGATGAAATTGAAGGAAAGCGAACATTTGACTTGGATGAGAAATTACTGAGTGATCGTTTCACCTCTGACCTGATTAAATACATGGATGGAAAAGGTTAAACAAAATGAGAATCTAAACATCTAATGACATTCGTGTGCATCTTTGTAATCTGTTTTATTTTTGTTCTTAGATTTTACTTTTGAATATATTCAGAAGGAAGGTCTTAAGGACCCCATTGTGTTTAAGAAGTCTGATGGCCTTGGCATACAGTAAGATATTTATATGTATTTGCACATTCATTCTTTCAGTATTAGTGTGGTATCCGTACTTAGCTTTTTTTCTGTTTTATTCTTTCAGGATGCCGGACCCTGATTTTAGTGTGAGTGATGTGAAGGTGTTTGTTGGTGAGTTTCATTATTTATCTTATAATTACAGATTGTTTTGATAATTTTACAGTTTATTCATTTATTTTGGTAATTATTCTCACAGGTAGCAGACGCATTGTTGATGTAATGGATGTAAACACTCAGAAAGGAATTGAAATGTCAATGGCTCAATGGGGCCGTTACTATGAGACACCACCATCAGAAAGGGAGAAACTTTACAATGTCATTAGTCTGGAGTTCAGCCACACAAAGTTGGAGAATCTTGTCAAGCGCCCGGCTTCGGTATATTTATTTGCACATTTAAAATGAGAATAAGATGTTAAACTATGACTGCTTTTAATTTTTTTATTTTAATTTTTTACTCATAACTTTACTTACCTTGAATGTATTATCTGACAGGTGGATCTTATTGACTGGGTAGACAACATGTGGCCACGACATCTCAAAGAACGGCAGACAGACTCTACTAATGCTATTATTGATATGCATTACCCTAAAGTACAAAAGTAAATACTGTGCCTACCTTTTTAAAAATGCTATGTTTGTTATAAAATAATGATTTTAAAAAGTTATAAGGCGGCTATAATTTTCCCTTTTTGTTTCAGATATTGTCTAATGAGTGTGCAGGGCTGCTTCACAGATTTTCATATTGACTTTGGTGGCACTTCAGTTTGGTACCATATTCTTCGAGGCAGAAAGGTTTGTTTCAAGATGAATCACATAATATGATATTAACCTTAAGGCTTATTCTTTTTTTATACTATATTCACTATCTTTCAGGTCTTTTGGTTAATTCCACCTTCACCGCAGAATCTGGAAATGTATGAGAATTGGGTTTTATCTGGAAAGCAAGGAGATATATTTCTTGGGGACAAGTGTCATGACTGTCAACGAATAGAGCTGCAGCAAGGCTATACATTTATGATCCCATCAGGTACCAACCAGTGTGGATGTGTGTTGCACTAAAATATTATTTTTTTTATATTTAACCCAAACACATTTTGACCCCTTCTGCTGCTATGTTTACAGGGTGGATCCATGCAGTGTACACTCCAGAGGATACTTTGGTATTTGGAGGTAATTTCCTTCATAGCTTCAACATCCCCATGCAACTCAACATCTACAGCATTGAAGACCGCACAAGGGTAAGCATTTACCCATTTCCTTGTTAAATCAACTGCGGTAGACTTTTAGGATCTTAGTGGTAGATATTTGATCTTACTTTCATGCCTTTTTAGGTACCAGCAAAGTTTCGTTATCCGTTCTACTATGAGATGTGTTGGTACGTCCTGGAGAGGTATCTTTACTGCCTGACAAACACCTCACATCTCACTCCTGAATTCCAAAAATACTCCCTTGGAATTGGTAACTATTCATCTATATAACTTTGGAAAAAATCACTTTAAAAAATATTGTAATGTATTAACCCCTTGGCGCTTGAACTTTTGTAGGCCTTTCTCCAGATGATGTTAATGGAAATGATGCCACAAATGAAGTTCCAAATAGTTCTGATATGGTAGACGTCAAGGTGAAGGAGGAAGTGGGTGAAACTGATGTGGCAGTACCAGAAACCAAACCTAAGTATGTGCTGACACCCCTGGAGCTGGAGGGACTGTGGAACCTCTTGGGGAAGCTCGAGGAATTGCCGGCCCATAAGAAGTGTGTCCCTGCAGGAATCGAGGATGCAGCAGCATTGCTTCAAAATATGAGGGTGGGTAAAACAAGGATTCCTTTACATTTCCTTTAATAAACTCCTTTTTCTCATATCTTTTACTCCTTTTTCAGGATGTTTTACTGCAGCATGCAGATGATGACCCTACACTGTCTTACACTGGCGAGCCCATTGTCAAGTGGCCAGAAAGGGTAAATGAAGAAACACACACTTTATTTACAGTTATTTGATTGTGACTAACTGTTACAATATTGTGATTAGCCATCATGGTACGAGCCTCCCCTCCCTCCCCCTCCTCCATCTGTATTATACCGACCTCGATTGGGTCCTTCTGGCCACAAGACAAGACGTTCTACCAAGCGATCCATTTCTGCCCTGCGACGCAGACGGGTGAGGTGTAAACGTTGTGCTGCATGCCGCAGGAAAGAGTGTGGCTCTTGTCAATTTTGTCATGACATGAGGAAATTTGGCGGCCCTGGTCGCATGAAGAAAAGCTGCGTCATGAGGCAGTGCTTGGCTGTAAGTTCTATCTTTATAATGTAAATTGTGACTTATTCATCTTAGCATCTCTTCCATCTTCCTCTTAGCCTGCTTTGCCTAATACAGCAAGATGTGCCATATGTGAAGAAGGTGAACCAGAAGAATCTAATCCAAGCACTCACACACTCATGGAGTGCTCAGTTTGCAATAGCATTGTTCATCCACGGTGCATTAAGGTAAACTGACAAAAAAAATAAATAAATTAGCAGATAAAATTATTGTTTAACATGGAAAAAACTCAATACTTGATTTTGTATTTTAGGAACCAGGTGAAGGAAAAATCAGTAAAGATTTGCCAAGTTGTTGGGAGTGTCCAAAGTGTTACCAAGGCAAAGGCTCTGCATCAGAGGTATCAACTTTTTTTATCCACTGATAATATAGGGTTGCCTTTCTATTTTGCCGTAAACCAATTTTTTCAGATCGCATTCACCATTTTTGCTCTCACTCCAGTCATCCAGTGATGAAGAAAGTGGTGAGTCCGAAGGTTCCAACTCTCTGCCTGGAGACATTACTGGTGGAGGTGAAGCTGGCAAAAGGTCAAGACGTGGGAAACCTGTGTCCCGTCCAACAGCGCCTCCTCCCTCTCAGAGACTACTTCTTCAGCATCAGCAGAGTCGAAAAAGAGCCAGTGCACTGGAGCTTCAACTCAGAAAGAGGGTAAACTTTAAAAGCTGTGCCTATGGCATGGGTCCACAGTGGCAGTGCACTTTGTCTCATCGGAATCTGTGTTGCATTTATTTTATTTTTTTCCAGATCAAGTTGGAACGAAGCAAAATAATGGCGGTAATCTCTTTTAACATTATAGGACAGTGTGATTGGCATATATAAAATAGTACAATGAATTAAAAATTTTGTTTTTAAATTCCATGCATTGTTTGATCTTGCTCCTAGCAAAAACGAGTCGCCCTTGAGCGTTCAGGCTCTAGATTGCTGTCCAGGCTGCGATCTCCAAACAGCAGACTGTCCCTGGGCAGGGGTCGGGGAGTGACCTGGGCGAGTGGTTCATCGTTCCCTGCCACAGCAGCAGCGACCGGGGAATTGGAGAAGCCACCATCTTTGAACGGGACTGTAAGTTTTAAAGGCAGAGGCCGCGGAGTGAGATTGAGAGGTGGAGCTGTAGGAAGAGGGTTTCACTCCAGAGACCATGGACCTGTGGATGACAGTGAAGACAGCAGCAGCAGCAGTAGCTCCAACAGCAGCAGCACTGAGGAGGAGGATGAAGATGAGGAAGCAGAGGGAACACAAAATGGCTCTCCAGGAGGAGATAAAGAGAACCAGCCACAAATGAGGACAGAGAGGCTGACAACCAAAGATCTGGAAGATGAAAAAGACAACCAAATCTGTGCATACGATTATGAGGAGCAGATGGAGCAAGATACCCAAACTGAAATTAAAGATGGCTTTAACAAAGTGACTCTACAAGTTCCAAGCAGGGCTAAGCAAGACCCATCAGCCATTGTTCCTAAGTTGGAAGCTATTGCTTCAACTACTACTGCATTAATACGCAACCAGTATAAAGCACTTCCTCGGCCACCCATCCGACATCCTGATCTCCAGACCAGCAGGCACACACCACCACTCACACGCAGTGGTCGTATGTGTACTCACAAAACTCACCAAGAGAGGGTGGAGGCCTCTAAAAGAATTAAAGAGTGTAAACTTGTTAAACTTGGCCGTGGGGGCTCAGCTTCTTCATCCGCTGATCACCCTCGCATCCCCCTGTCGGCTCTGCAGGAAGGTGGCAGTGAGGCAGACAGAGAGAGTAGTGGTGCTGGGCCGGCCTGTGAAAGGGAGGTGTGGGTGTCTGTCTTCCGCTACTTAAGTCGAGCAGATCTATGTGTCTGCATGGCTGTCTGCAAAAACTGGTATAAATGGTAAGGATTTTCTACAGAATATGCATAGTACATAAACATAATGGATATTTATTAATTTTTCCCTTTTTCCCCACAAGGTGCTTAGACAAAAGGCTCTGGACAAAAATTGACCTCAGCATCAAGCCCAGTGTCACTCCTCAGGCCCTCATAGGTATAATAAAAAGGCAGCCTGTAACACTGGATCTGTCATGGACCAACATTTCCAAAAAGCAGCTTAACTGGCTTATTGGACGCTTACCTGGTAAGCAAACACATTCACAGTTCAGTCATTTTTCACTTTTACGCCACACTAATGCTTACATTTATATCATAGGTCTAAAGGATCTAATGTTAGCAGGTTGTTCTTGGGCATCTATTTCTGCTCTTTGTTCACCTGGTTGCCCTCTCCTCCGTTCATTAGACCTGCGCTATGCAGATGGGGTCAAAGATGCTCAAATCAGGGAGCTGATAACTCCACCAGGTAAGAATATGAGAGGATGCTCAGTTGTGCTAGATATAATAACCCACATACCTTTTTAAATGCAATCATCTTTCTTGTTTTCATTTTGTGTAACCCTTATTTATTTTGGCTTCAGGTTGTGATAACCGCAGTCCCCTTCGCACCATTCAGAGTTTAAGATTGTCAGGTCTGGACATCAGTGACTCGACGGTGCGTCTTGTAATCCGCCACATGCCTCAGTTAACAAAACTAGACCTTTCCAACTGCAACAGTCTCTCAGACCACTCCATCAACCTGCTCACTGCTGTGGGCTCCTCCACGCGAAACACCCTCACAGAGCTCAACCTAGCAGGTATGTGAGAACTAATTTTATTTGTATTACTATTATATTTAGCTATTAAACCCTAATCGTTTCTATCTTTCAGGCTGCAGTAAACTGTCCGACACATGCCTCAAGTATCTCCGCCGTCTTGCCTGCATCACAATGCTCGACTTGCGGGGCTGTAAAGGTGTCTCCCGCAAAGCCTGTGAAGCATTCATCTCTGAGCTGTCTGTCAACACACTCTACTGTCTGTCAGATGAAAAACTGATCGAGCGGATATCCTAACCTCCTGCCGTGCCACATCAGATTCAGAGGTGACAATGCTGCACAGAAAATACCTGAACTTTACAGAAACCTGTTGGGCACAGAAGTGATACATCAACTCACTCTTGCGTCTACATGGTGTAAAAGGAATACAGAGACGAATTTAGGAGCACTTAAATTGGTCTTGGTGCTGGGGTAACAGCTAGAACTGGATTTTCTTTCAGAGGTTTATAGTTTTCACTTTTGTACTTAAAATACTCAGGAGCTTAGTTTTTATATTGAGAATATGATATTATAAGCATTGGTGCCGGAAGCAGAACTTTTAAGTGTTACTAGAGTCACATCCCCCCTGACCATTCAAGTCCCCATTCATTATCAGTACCAACTGAGTGTTCCATTTCAAACCATGCAAAGACCTGACATTTCTTCTGTTGGTTTGAAGGTTTTTGTTTTGTACTCACATGTATCATGTGGCTTTATACAAAGTGGATTCTAGCTCCATTTTGTGCTGTTGGTCATGTCAGTCTTAGAGGGGATAATACTAATTTCTCATCAGTAACTTGTGCATTATGCATTGAAACAAAATGTCTTTAGAGGATTAATCAGTGTTAAAGTTTAAACATAAGACACTGAAAATCACAGCAAAAGTGAAAAGGCAATCGAAGGCAACACGAGACCTCAACCCAAAAGTGGAAGTTAAGTGTATGGAATAAGCCAAGAACTGTCGGAAAATGTGCATTTTCAACAACCTTTTTCAGGTGCTACAATTTCTCAACTCCTCTGTTTTTGTACAACTTAGACTAATGTCCTCACCACCGATTTTTATATATTTTTATTTGGTAAGTGGTTGTACCTGGTTTTCAATTTAAATAAATGCTAAGTGCAGTTTTCGTTTTGGAAATTGTTCCTTTTTGTTTTCAGTATAGTGTTTCTGTATTTAAGGTGATGGACTGCTCTCTTGGCCATATTCTTTAAAACAAATATGAATATATTGTACAAAGGTATACTTTTGTGTAAATCTGTTTTACTTAGAGTATCAAATGGGAATCTTGTAGCATTGTAATTATTTTCCAATGCATTTTTCACCTGTGTTATTTGTGTTATTTTTCAAATAAAATAAAACAAAAGTAGGAGATTGTAATGACTTTTTTCACCGTTGTGTGTTAGAGATAGACCGTAGACTGGAGCATCCACGGGGATGTTTAACCCTGGCTCCACCCAGTTTCCCTCTGGTAACCTGGAAATAAACGAGGAAGTACATATAAATAATGCAGCACCCTGCTGAAAAGTACTTTTAACAAGACGCGTTTGGTGTGGACTTAAAGAAGGCCATCTCGACAGATGTGCACGGCTCCATAATCATCCTGTGGGCAGGGCAGTAGCTGGCAGCAGCTGGCACCGCACGGACCAAAATGACCTGGATGTGAAACTGCATCAGCGCCCGCATCTCGCAACGAATTCTCAGATTGACATGTTTTCGGCAGCAAGCAGCTGACTTATAGATTTTAAATTTACAGTAATTTCCAACTTACTTCCAGACAAATATGGACAAACGCAAGGGCGCAGGTTTTTCAGACTGCAGAGAGTGTGGAGAATGAAAATGTGCGGAGAAGAGCACGACGAGTTCTGTTATTGGCCAGTAGTGTTAGCCTGTGTTAGCCCAGCTAGCTGTTAGTCAACCTCAAATTAGTGGGCTGAGTTGCTAAGCCAACTCAGCCCACTAATTTAAATTGGCTCATTATTTAATTGGACTATGACTTTTATTTTAGCACATTTACTGAGCTAGCCTGCTAGCAGTCCACCGAAGAGCTTTGAACTCTATGGTTTTAGTGCATCTGTTAGCCACATAGGTAATATTACATAGCTTTACTTCTGTTTGCCTGTCAACAAATAGAGAGCCATGGCCCAAGAGGCGTATCCCCTGCATTTTCTGGTTTGGAACAATCAGTTCATGGAGCTTGACCGGGAATTGCAGAAAAAAGAGGTAAGTACGGGTCTGCTAGAAAAGCTAAAGATTGTATATTGCGGTTATTGACAGCAGCACTGCATTGCGCTGATGATGGTGATGTTGGGGATGTGCAGCACAACGTGGAGCGGCTTGACACGCGGGGGCGCACCCCTCTGGAGCTGGCAGTGAGTCTGGGCCACCTGGAGTCCGCCCGAGTCCTGCTCCGACACTCCGCGGACCCAACACACGTCGGTGCGCAGGGCTGGGCCAGTGAGTGACTTCATATACCAGCTTATATACACTGGGTTTCTTCTGCTGTTAGATCAACACATTGAAAATTCATGTTTCAGTCTTGCAGGAGGCAGTTAGCACTGGAGACCCAGAACTAGTTCAGCTCATTCTTCAGTACCGAGATTTTAAACGTGCTACAGAGAGGCTGGCTGGCATCCCAGAACTGCTCAGCAAACTTAGACAGGTAATTGCCAGTACTTCATTTCATACATGATAGTGCTTAATCATTATTTTTAAGTAGTACACTATTTTACATTTTATCCGCTTTATTTCAGGCACGAGATTTTTATGTAGAAATGAAGTGGGAGTTCACAAGTTGGGGTAGGTGCCCTTTTCCACGTGAATCAGATTCAGCACCACTTCCATTGGATAGCTCCCCATTAGCTTTTTTTTTTTTTTTTTTTTTTTGTAAAAAATGTATTAGTAGTAAACAAAATGACATATCACATTTTACAACCTAGGTCACAGTTTCACTTTTGCAACAATTCTTGTTCTTGTTGTCAATACTCATACTCATAAATTTAGTTTTATTACCATTGCTCATTCTTAATCATAACATCAGACTGAACAGAAGGGTGAGGTTGTGAGTGAAAGTTGCTGGACATGTATCTCTGTATTAAACTAGTTTATTAGCAATGCAAATCTCCACATGGTTTTATCATGAATTGATAAACCTGTTATTTTGTGTTAGTTATTTATAATCTCTAAATTGTATGCCAGTTTGTATTAATCCTTGTTTTTGTCACCTCTTCAGTGCCTTTAGTGTCAAAGGTCTGTCCTAGTGATGTTTACCGTGTGTGGAAAAGTGGATCGTGCCTTCGTGTGGACACTACTCTTTTGGGCTTTGAGCACATGACATGGCTGAAAGGCCGGCGGAGCTACATCTTTAAGGGCGGAGGTGAGTTTTTAATCTGTTCAAACTATCAAATGCTTTATTACTAATTTGGTTTCAAATGACTGAAAAACTATAGAGTGGTGGCAAATTCAGTGGAGTGTAATCTGAATTTTATTCTGCTGTTTTCTCAATCTGCTGTCAATTACTTTCTGGTGAGGCTCAACTCAACTCACTGAAATAAAATTTTTTCCTGATCACATAGACTCAATGAGCTGCACTGACCCTCATTGCCTTGTTTTTCACAGAGTTGCACTGACCTATCAATCATCTGAAAAGATAGTGCAGGCCTAATCTGAAATAATTTTGTCTATTCCAGGAAATGGTTTATAATAGCCTACCTATTAAAACCTTTGACATTATCTTTATCTCTAAAAAGACAAAACTATGTGACATTACTTTAGGGCAACAACAGAGAAAAACCCTGCACAATAATGTGTGTGACTTTTAGTAAGACACTAATGATGTTTCAGCACTACGCCTTCATCAGGCAAATGGTCATTTGCAAGTAAAACGGTCTGCGGTATTTTTGTCTGTTGATGTATTTTGGGCTGCTCCCTCTCCTCCAACGTCCATTTTCAAGAAATTGATGTGAGCAGTACACATTCATATTGTTTTATGGAATGAAATAAGAGGCAACAAAGGGGGGGTGTGGTAGTCTAATGGTACAGTCAAGATGCACACAAGAGCTCCTGTGTTAGTGCTGTAAAGTGCCTTGTGAAAGAGCAGTGCCAGGAGAAGAGGGGGGACAGGTGTTTGTGACATAACCAGAATAGCTGCTGTGTTTACTATAGCATATCTGAGAGGTTTTGTTTAAGCCTATCATATTCGAGTATGTTTGTTGTTTTGGGGGGCAGGGGTCTGAGCACTCACCAGCCAAAACCTGTGCTTATTGTTTATGGAGCTGGCTGTATTAAGCACTATAGTTTAAGTAACTGTTCATAATTAATAAATTAACTAATCATTGTATTTGTATAGCACCTTTCATGACACCCAGAGCATTATTCATTCACTCCACAATCAGTGTTAAACTACTGTTGTTGCCACAGCTGCCCTGAGGCATGTCCTTGGGCTACATTTGTAACATTCATTAAGAAAATCTGTGACCTTGATTTGTTTTTTCTTGTGTCTGTAGATGATGGTGCAGTGGTGATGGAGGTGGACCATGAGAAACAGGTGGTGTACACAGAGCCACTGGTGCTCTCCCCTCGAGATGCGCCGTCTCTTCTTGCAGCCATGCAGCCTTCACAGGAAAACACCGCCCAGAGACTGACATCCCCAATTGTCTCCACACATCTCAATACTCGCAACATTGCCTTTGAGCGGTAATGACACCTTCTAAATTTTTGCTTTGGAAGATCAAAGCTGTATTTTAATATTATTTCAATAAGTAATAGTAATAGCAAAGCATTTTAATTCAAACTGAAGAAGGCGCCTTTCTCTTAATCTAAGGAACAAATCTGGAATTTGGGGCTGGCGTTCTGAGAAGACTGAAGTTGTCAGTGGTTATGAAGCCAAGGTCAGAATATCTAATCAGTTTACTGTATTTTCCTGGCTATTAGGGCGCTCTTAAGCCTCTAACCCTATCAAAAAACGACTGCGCGCCCCGCAAGCCAGAGCGCCCTATACACGAATCCACTCGGGTATCCCAGCACGACTTCAATAAACTACAAAGCCGCACTACCCGCAGCGCACGCAAACACGCATGGAGCATACAGCGACCGCTGACGAGGAATGGAACGGAGGAACGAACTGAAAAAGCGAGTCCAATGTACCACTCTGAGCCACAACTGAACAACTGTGTCACTGCAAATACGTCAACAATCCAGTGGTCCCAGACAGCACCCTCCCTATGTGCCACAATTGAACAAAGCCCAGAGTCACCGTGAACGCGCCAAACAAAGTCCGACTGACCCATCGAACTGTTGTGTTTCGTTTAAAGTCCGATGTGGTTTTTTGTGAAAAAGTTTGAAAATAGACCATTTAATGTCAGTGCGTCATATAATCCAGAGCACCTAATAGCCCGGAAAATACGGTAATATTAAATTAATAAATTGCAGGAATATGTTGTGACAATCAGATTCCCTGTTTTCTTTTGTTTTTCCAGGTTTACAGTGCTACTAATGTGGAGCTGGTCACTCGGTCAAGGACAGAGCATTTGTCAGACCAAGACAAATCAAGAAGCAAAGGTAAACTTTGTGAAACATTTTCAAAATTTTGCTGTAAAATTGTAATGAAGTTAAGTTAAGTTTATTTTTTTAATTTTTGTTCATTTCTGTAGGTTCAAAGACGCCTTTGCAATCATTCTTAGGTATAGCTGAACAGCACACAGCTCATAATGGAGTAAGTGGGTGCCTCAAAACTGCAGCAGCTCACAACAAACAGCATTATGTTTAATATCTGTGTTTGTTTCAGAGTAATGTGTCCCAGTGTGCCAGTCCTCACAACCCTACAGCCATCACTGCAGAGGAATACTTCAACCCAGAGTTCAATCTGAATGGGCGAGACATTGGACGACCCATTGAGCTTACCAGCAAAGTCCAAAGGTAATTCAAAATGTCAACAGAAAATGCAAACACTTGGACATTGTTTGAATTGTATATTTTTTCTCCTGTCCAGGTTCAAAGCGACACTCTGGCTGAGTGAGACTCACCCTTTGTCCCTGGCAGAGCAGGTGACCCCCATTATTGACCTCATGGCCATTTCAAATGCCCACTTCGCAAAACTGCGTGACTTCATCACCCTGCGCCTGCCACCAGGTTTTCCTGTTAAGATAGGTACAAAGGAAAGATACTGAATGTATCCTTCATCTGGACATATGTATTGACAGCAATTTTTTATGTTCTCAGAGATTCCTTTGTTCCATGTGTTGAATGCTCGAGTAACCTTCAGTAACTTGTGTGGTTGTGATGAACCGGTCAGCTCGGTGACACTACACAAACCTGAGAGCTCGGAAGCAGGTATTAGTGGCTATAAATATGTTTTGTTGAATTAGGATAATATAAGGGGACTTTATAACTCCTCTCAGGTCAAGCACCTCCACCCTTTCACTGCGAAGTCGACCCCTCTGTATTTGAGCCCCCACCAGACTACACCACTCTGGGCCCGGGGCGCAGTGAACCAATGCGGGATGAGGATGACAATTTGCTACAGTTTGCTATTCAGCAAAGTCTGTTGGACGCAGGCACAGAGAGTGACCAGGTATAATAACGTAAAACAACTATATTAACAGTCCCCTATTATTCTTTAGTTTGGCTTTTTAAATACCTTTTGACACCTTTAGCATTGCTATGTCACTTTTTATAATCTTAAGGTAATGTAGATGTAAATACTAGAGTGAAATAATGAGAGTAAAAACTGAATCTGCTGACCTTCGAGGCAGTGAACTGTTGAAAATGCAGTTTAATCAGAACTGTCCATCTAAGATAAATGAACTTGAAACACAGAAAAAATTCTTATGAACACATGCACTTACTGTATTATTTAGGTAACAATATGGGAGGCTTTGACCAACAGTCGACCTGTCCCCCAGTCTCCATCATATGAAGAGGACTCTCAGTTGGAGAGGTGAGCAATTAGTCAAATAATAGTAATAGTATTTTTTAATGGATTAAACTTTTAGTAGGTGGGATTTTAAAAATATAAAAATGGAGGGATGTGTGTGATGGAATGAGTTTCTTGCTAACTTCTCCAGTTCTTGAGGAAAAAAAAAGTGTTTAAAGTAATTAACCTACCAGGATTACAGTGAGTAATATTCACTTCTCATGGGACAAACTCCCTGTCACAATGTAATAAAGTGTCAGATAATATCTTTATTATACTTTTTTTCTTCGTAACCCACTTTTCTTTTCTCTCAGGGCAATCCAAGAGTCCCTGTCGATCTCTCTGTCTGGTCGAGAAGGGGATAGCTCTGCAGACTTAAACCAATCCACTTCAGTGTCACCAGAGGACCCGGGGGCAAACTCCCCTCTGTCTCTGAGCTCTGGGGGAGATCCGCGGTTGTCAGGGCAGTTTGGTGTGGCAGCAAGCTTCGATGAGCAGCTGCGACTCGCTATGGAGCTGTCGTGCAGGGAACAGGAAGAAATAGACAGGTACATCTTATTGGACATTTGCAGATGTTAGAATGTGATGTTGTCATCCTCCCATATGGGGGGCTATTTTTTCCTGTTGATTACATTGTACTTTGCCACGAAATATTGGAAAGGTGAATTCCCAAATATGGAATCTGATCATTTCTATTACTAGATCCAAGACCATCCTATTTTACAACAAGAATTTGCAGTTGAACCATATTCATTTTAGCTGCCCCCATTTGTATTAAATAATATGCAGTGATGGTCAGCTTTTTTATGTTTCTTAACTAGCCTTTATTTGCCTCAGTAGTTATTTGTTTGTTTACCACCTTTTTAGGAAGCGTAAGGAAGAAGAGGAGGAACTAGAGAGGATACTGCAGCTGTCACTCACCG